CCTCAGCTGCCAGAAACAAGGGTTCAAATTAGCGATTCGAGTGCAATGATACGTATGTACACCTGATAGTTTTTTTGCGCCGAAAGATACACTTCCTTACCCCTTACCTTAGGAAACAGGTGATACAACCACAAGCCCAAAGCCGGTCGACAATGGCTGCACAAAGTGAACTTAACTATCACCAAAACTTAATCTTGCCCATAGCGCACCTGAAACCCCCACTGCAAGCCCTCTTCACTTAGGCTGCAGGTGGTTCCTGAATTTTCTAAGCTCTCACCTATCCCCAATGGCGAGAGAAAAAAACTCACTTAATTACATCCACGTGGCCCCTAGACTCGGCCATGGATTTAGGGTTTCAAAACTACCAGTGCAGCTCTCGTGGTTCGGATGTCAGCCGGGCTTAAAATTCGGGTTTACAGACCCGAGGAGAGGGTGTTGATCGACGTAATAATCGGAGTTCAAGCATTTGGGCCCCAGGTCAATAGTGCCAATCATCGGAGATTCATTGGATCGACAGTCGTCATGGATCCGCTAGTTAGGATCGCGATTTAGGCTTGGGATTAAGGTCGGGAGAACTTAATTTTTGCAGATGCAGGATTGTTAGTAATTTGTTTATGCACGGCGTTATCTGGGCTTTCCATGTGTGAAGAAGTAACCGGCTTTATAAGTGCACTAAGCTCTGGGCTTTACATAGAACGGTCTTGATTGACGTGCTATTAGTAAAACAAATAGACGATATCGTTGTCCTCAATTTCTGGGTCGATCCTGTTGGCCCTTATGTGCTCAATCCAGTTTTTCGAGCACGCCACTCGCAGCTGAGACATCAAGGCTTTAATCTGATACGGATACATATAGGTCTTTACCGCTAGCACAGACAAAACCGCTATTCTTAGCCAGTACGACTTGGGAAGCCAGAGATTGTGGAAACGATAGTTCTCAATCCTTTGTTCACCTAACCCTAGCCCTGAGACACTCCTCACAGTGAGTGAGTGATGCCACATGACTCACGCCAAAAGCTGCACCTCACCCATCACATCGAAGCTGAATGGCCTCGGCTTTATACAGATGGTGCCGGCTAAGATTTTTTCTTTCTTTGTGGGCAGAATTTCTGCACTTTTTTTCCCCAGTGGTGATCGGATCCATTTGAGGGAATGCTTGGCGAGGTCCTATTTTTAGTAGCATATCTGGCTCTGATACCATTGGTTGCGTAAATGCAAAATATAGTCATCAACGACATGCGCACCTAGCGAGAACCTCTTTGAGGAGATGTCCAGAAGGTGGAGGGACAATAAACACAGTCATCCAGCCAGTGGATGGATTGCCTTTCCTCTCGCTATTGAGGTTATGGAAAGCTGGAAATGTTATATATAGCTAGACTCGATCTATGCTTAGTGGGAGCGGAATAAACGACGGAATCTTCCACTTTCTAGTGGGATTCTGTGAGGGGTAAGTACATGTAGTTACTTTCTATAGTGCCTACATAGCCAAAGAACATGATGGGCGGTTTTCAGTGTTCTTGAGTGTTCAGTATTAGTGATTGTGTTCCTTGAGTTGCAGGGTTCTCCATACTGTGGCTATCTACGTACCAGTATCTAATACGTAGACCTCAGTACTATTGTAAGCCGCCTTGCTTGTACTATATACGTATTATCCCATCTACTGGCTTATCCCAAGGTTGATTGATTTGGCTTACATATCATTTCCTCGCGAGCCTACCAATCCGCAGCGCAGAGAGCAACAGAAATTCTACGACTCGCCCCATGAGCACCAGCCTTACAAAAGTCTTCCCGTCTTATCCATCGGACCTTAAATAAACTTATCGCGATTCTGCATAGATACGAGCGAAACGTTGAAGCAGTTGCTTTTTAACACGTTACTACCTGGCTGTGCAACAACCCTTCGTTTCTAAAAATAGTAACATGGCTGAGGTGGGTAAGTAGAGTGCGACAGTTAGTAGACACACCAAACCCGTATGTACTACCTATCGAGATCTCACTTCCAACTAAAGCCTTTTTTTTTGTGCTTGCAATTGTCACCGCGTGCTATACAGGCTCTCCAGCGATGGAAAGCCTTAATTCGTCAAAACAATCTTTTGAGACAGCGCAAGCCTACTGGATGGCACTCGAATTCATGATCAAGGCAGTAAATGTGCCGCGCCGCGGTCATTCGGGTTTAAGCTTTCATGTATGCATCCCTTGTTAGGTACATTGCGAAAGATGTATATGTAGTACCCGGATCCAGCGTCCCCAGAGTAAAGCCCAAAGTGAAGTTCAGCATTCCTAGCAATCCTTTCAGCAGATCGTGCTGATATTTAACAAGATGTACACCAAACCTCTCGAGCGTTCTAGCACTGGAACCACTGATACTTCAACCGCTTCTTACCGCGCGATGGAGAAAGTTATCTACAATAACCGTTCTTGCGGATGGCTCATCATCCGTGTAATCCAGATCATTACTTGTGTTCTAGTGCTTGCACTCTCAATATTCATTTTAACTTCAACATTGACTGAGGATCATGTATGGCGGTCATTTGAAGGGGATACTGAGGTGGTTGTCCTGGGGGATACAACGATGGAGACTATGCAGAATTTCTTTCCGTTATATATTATTCTGGGTGTGGTTAGTAATTTTCTGTCCATATTTCTGAATGGGAGACTTATTTGAGGGTGAAATTTACTAGTCAGGGCTGTCATTCTTGTCATGCTTCATATCCCTTATTACGTATTGCTGCCACAGGCTCAGTATTAAACTGGTCGTCTTTTGGGACTTCCTGATGGCGACAGGCTGGATAATTGGATCTGCGTTTGTTGGAACGTTTATCAACTCCCAAGGCGGTTGGGGAGAGAAGTACTGGCTGATCGCACTCTACAAAGTCAACCTTATCCTTAGCATTCTCTCCATGTGAATTCCTAACCCTTCTTTCTCTTTTACCGTTTACCTCTTTGCTAATGTATTCTCAGCATCCAATTCATCATCTCGGCCGCCCTAGGGATTCGCCTTCACAACGCTTCAAAGCGGAGGGCAAACTCAACCTACTACGGCCCCATGCGCACCCCGGCTCCACCCTACACCTCAGTGCAGGAGAACGGAAGTACATCTCCGGTTGTAGGGAGACCGTACCAAAGTTATAGTAACTTCCTGACGGTCCCTCCACCACAGCCCCCATTGCAACCACCGGTATATCCTAGGCCTTCGGGGGAATGGGAGGCGGTCTTACTCGATGGGAAAGACGCGCCAAGTTCCAGATAAGTTTAGTATAGTTCGTTCTATTCAAGAGAGAGGGCGATCCCATCGGTTTTTTCATTTTGTACATTTCGCTTTAGTTTTTATTTTCCTTTCTGATTTTGGTGTTTGGGGTACGTATGGTATGGGCGGGCTCGACAGCTCTGGCGTTTTTCTTTTGTTAGATAGCACGATTTCTTAAGGACAATCGTTTTGGGATGTGTTTTACTCTGATCTTGACGAATCAGCAACAAAGTAAATAAATCAAATCACTCTTTGAAGTTACTTTTTCCGATGATCACTCGCGGTTCTGAGCGGAGACCGAACAATATCAGCAAGTTTTCAGCTCCAGCTTCTATGCAGACATTATTTTGTGGTCGAGTAAATAACCTGAGGATAATAAAAGAGATATTGCGAAATGCTGAGCTGGTTCTGGTCTTCAGCAGTATTTATGGCCCAAAAAGCTTCTTGCGGTCGGGATTGTCTGATTTCGGGACCTATCCACTCGATCAGGTTGGACGTGATAAGAAGATATATATGAACGAGAGAATCACTAACCTCTCCCATCTGATGAGACGCTGATAATATCATCTTGACAAGGCCTCTAGCTTTGAATAACGTTGATTTGTCCGAGTAACCACCTTGTAAATATGGATCCGACCGGACAGCTGACGGACACGACCTGCCAGAGACATCATGTCTTGTACTCGTTCTTATTGAGTGACATTAGGGAATTTCCGGATACCGAGTTGAGGTTTGTTATCTTGCTTTCGATATGTACTTCGTGTGATTGAGTGGGGTTGGGGGTAGCGACGTAGAACCGGAGTTAAATCGCGTCGCATACGATAGTGACGTTGCCTGTATGTTTACATTCTGGATTTTTTTCCTACAACATAAGAAACTTTTTTCATGAATTGAGCAGCGTCCTAATGGAATCTAAATCACTATAATGATCTTCATCTACTTGAGTAATTAATATGCGATAATATCAAAATTTTGCATTGTATAGAAGGTCCGAGTGACTTTTCATGATGCATGCTGGAGCACCAATAATCACTCGTTGTGCCGTGCAATGATTGATTTGATGGATTAATTCGCGCTGTGCAATGATCAAAGTACCTGTCAAAGAATAAAGTATGACCTTTAGGTAACAACGGTTTCGCTCATAGCTCTATTGTTTATCACTACCACAGAATTCCATTGCAAGTAGAATGGAATTCTAGTTGATATGAGTATTATTCTATAGAATTAAATATCTCACCTTAATCCATTCTACTCGGCTCTCAAAATTTGCCTTCAGACTCCACTCCTTTTCCAGCGAGTACACTCAACACAAGAAGATAGGGTTTGGTAGATTATAACATAGCTTCACACCTTATATCACTATCACTAGAACTCAACATCGATCAAGTGATCGACTGTGCAAATTCTATCGATGTATAGGATAGATTATGGGTTACATATACATAGCTTATATGTATTAGGTATTGAATTAGCGCTACTACATGTATATACCCGTGCGTCACTCGGTGCTCTGATATACATAAGGTTTTAGGGAACCATGCGCATATTCTACTCATTTATAAGCGCCTTCATCGGCTCCTTTTCTCCATCATCCTTCCAGCATTTCGATACCTTGAGATAGATATCAAACTGTCCTTTCAGTCTCTCCAGATTGCCTGACTGTCTACGTCTGATTCATATATCGTCATTTACATTCTCTTCTTCTTTAGATCTCCATCACCAAGCTCCAACAGCACCATAGTGGATTCATAGAGATGGCTTCCGGGTACCATCTTATCACCCTGTTTCTGACCATTCTCCTACTATTCTCTTTCACCTCCTACTCGATTCCATTCCCAGTCGAACCCAGGGACACCCTCAATAACCGCTGTGGCCCCGCTCTCGGTGGCAATTGCCAGTCAATTGGTGGTGGCTTTCAATGTTGCTCACAGTACGGCTATTGTGGTGATAGCGCTGGACACTGTGAAGTTGGCTGTCAACCGGATTATGGGAGATGCACTAGTGGCTCACCCACAGCTCCAACAACACCAACACAGCCAGCACAGCCACCAGTTGGGGAAAGACCACCACTTGGTATCGTGCCATATGGTGCTCATATCTATTCGTGTAACATCCGTGGAACGATTGCCTTGACGTTTGATGATGGACCGTATACGTGAGTAATCCTTTTGGTACCAGTGACTATATCATGAGTTATCAGTACTGCAGCACATTTACTAAAAGATTCGGACGTTAGATATACTGCCGGGCTTCTGGATTTACTTGCATCATTAGGCATCAAAGCAACATTCTTCATAACGTTAGATGAATTATGATTTACTTTTCAAGCCGTGCATTCACTAATATAATAAGATAGTGGCAATAATTTGAGCAAAGGGGCAATTGACGGCCCCAATACAGCCTGGCCTGCAGTTATCAGGAGAGCCTACAATGAAGGCCATCAGATCGCTTCTCACACGTCAGTATATTACCACCTCACAATCTTTGAATGGGAAAACTGACAGATATGAATAACTAGATGGGATCATTTGGACCTGAACACTCTTAATGAGGCTGATCGACAATATCAAATGACCCGTCTCGAGCAAGCCTTCCTCAGTATTAGTCAGTCTTGCTACCCCTCTTATCCACTACTGAAATTTAATTTTCTAACGTTGATTTAGTTGGATGTTACCCAACCTATATGCGGGCACCGTTCATCCAGTGTAATAGAGAGTGTCTGAGGACAATGGAGAGATTAGGATACCATGCGATTTTCTGGGATCTTGACACTGCTGATTACACCAATGTCACCCCGCATTTGATTCAGAGATCGAAGGATAATGTGGACATGGCAATGGAAGGATTAAACAGCAATTACAATAGTATCTTGAGCATAGCGTAAGTTGGATTGTAAGGCGATTTTAAATGACTGCTAACTGTGGTGGGACAAGGCACGATATACATTATCAAACGGTTTACAATTTGACACGTTACCAGATCATTACTGGATATCGGTATGGGTATAGATGTAAGGTTATCCTATCCTATTTACGCCGATAATATGCTAAATTATGAACTATAGTCGTGACTGTCGGGGAATGCCTTGGTGATCCAAAGGACAATTGGTACAGGACACAGTCGTAATATATGAAGGGATACTTAGAAGGGGACTTTGCTTTTAAAACTTATGGGAGACCGGATAGAAAACGAACGGATTGCTATCAGTCATCGCTGGACTGGCTTGGTGGTGTCTGATATCAATTACATTACTCCACATTAAGAATAGAAAATAATTGCACAAGAAAAGAAGAATACCACAAACTCGTCGTGCGATATGACTGACGAGATTTGCTTTACAACATAAGAGAAACCCCAGCAACTGCAACAAAACAAGTCAAATGCAGCAATAGCGAGGCGGGCGCCGGCATACCTGGCGAAGATCCAGAGGTGTCTGTCGAATTTGCCGTAGTCAGGTCGGTAATCCCATCGGCGCCACGTGAGGAAGTTGAGGTGACCCCAGTCGTGGAAATCTTCTTTTCATCGTCGAAGGGGTACATTGATCCCAGCTGGAGAAACGGAAAGGACGATGTGACATTGAGATCCGGGCATACATCATTTATAACAGCAATAACATCTGCCTGTGTGGCGTTGTTTCCCTGGAATTCGCCTGTGCTGATAACAGATAGTAGCTCGGACTGCATGAAGCATGTGGCTTCACTGCAAAACGTCTGGTTCCTCTCGATCGCCTCCTCTTTCGATAGGTGCGAAAAGCGCGACGCCTCAATGGAGGGCCACACGGCTACATCCGCGTCTAATTCCGTGAGTGTGCAATACTCTGTCGAATTCCTGCCCACCACAAACCCTATTAGCCCCCCAATCCTCTCTCTCCACACTACCAGCGACTACATAGACACACTCACAGATCTCTTGTGCACTTCCCCCAAAACATGTAATCCAGCCACTCGGCCTCTCCATCCCGGTACGCAAACCCAAACGCACTTGCGCCGGAACCCGCCCCCGGCACAGTTAGTCCCGACTCATTCAAGACCGCCTCAGGGTCCGTATAGTCGTTATACATTTCCGAAAACAAGGTATCAAAGTCTGCCGCGCAATCCACCTGCACCGCAGTCCTCCACGATGCTAATGACTTGTAGCAGGCCTCCGTGCACACATCTTTGTAGAGCGAGTGGTACGCCGTGGCCGGAATTTTCTTTGTGATTGCCGTGTAGTTCACGTAGTCGGGGCCGACAAAGACGAGGGAGTTTGAGCAGTTGAGCGATGCGGAGTACGCTGATGCGCACTGCTCCGAGAGGACGCCTGAGGGGATGATGCCGTTGAACGTCTGGTTGAGGATGGTGATGCCGTTTGAGGCGAAGGTCGAGTTGAGAGAGAAGACGGCTTGGGTTAGGGGAAGGAACCCGACGGCGAGGGCTGCCAGAAAGGCATGTGGTGATGGCATTCTTATTGTCGAGCCTAGCGGTGGGCCTCCTGTGTGTGTGGTGGGTTGTGTTGCGCGGGTGTGGGTGGGTGGGTTGGTGCAGTGTGGTGGGTGGGAATCCGGGGGAGGGGTGAGCTTAAGGGGAGCGAGGAGTTAAAAGAGTGACATCCAGTGTGTGCTTATTTTCCTCCTTTGAATGAGCGTATAGGGTGAGTTGCGGCAGAATGAACGAACGGACGGTGGTAAGGCTGTGGAGTTGTGCAAGTCAGGTATGTAAGAATGTAGGTCAGTCAGTCAAGCAGCAGAGGTAGCGCGGCTAAGGGGTGGTGGTGGTGGTAATGGTCGTGGTTATGTTGATATGGATGCATGGGGGGTGGCCCTGGTGGCCTGTCTGTTTGTCTATGCTCTGGCTCTAATCTCACCTCGACCTGCCTACTACAGATCTACCGACCGACACAACGAACCACGCGGGGTGCAGAATAGGGGTTGATCCCCGCTCAGTAGTTAGCCAGGGTCCAGCACAGCTCCATTTGTGGCACGGGTGGCGGTGCAGATGTCACGATGCCCGTTGAGATGGAGATGAGATGGGCGGTGCAGGGACCATCGCAGGTATTTCATGTTAATTGAGCCACATAAACACATATGATGCTAATTTCAGATCAACATGTGAAGCAAAAGTAAGGTAGATCTACTCTGCGTACCTCTCGAAGTTTTGCATCCCCAAAAAAGATTCTCAAGTCAACCATGGGTTGAGACAGCTGGTCCTGGCTCAAGAACCGATGATGGGAATATCCTTACCCACAAACCGCTTTGGAATGCTGGATGCAGCCATTAAACATGGCACTTGCGGAACTTTCCCCCGGCAGATGGCCCGATCCACACCGGGATCCCAAGATTTTCGGTCTTGGCTGCTGAGCCAGAACAACCCTAACCCTGGATTGGTTGGATAAGGTCGATAACAACCTAATTTTTGCGCAATACATAACGCAACAAACACGAGTGGGGCAGAAAAATATAATCTCACTGGCCGTCAATGCTATGAAAAATTTCATTTTTATGGCGGTGGTGATTTGAGGCCCAACGAAATATTTGACAAATCAGAAGCAGTATATATACTCTCGGTATTATTATATGAGGTTTCTTCTGGGGCATGTCAATGATTAACCAATCACCTTGTTCGTACCCGGGAGGTTTAAAAGCTAGCTATAGGGGATTTGATACACGCATTTTTTCTTTCGAGTTCAAGCAAGAGCATTGCATTATATGTATAAAGAGATGATTAAGTACATAACGACAGTCAATAAAAAGTTTTTTCTTTCTTACTTTCCTGTTCGGCAGACAGTTCTTTTTTTTTTTTCTTTTTTTCTTTCCCCGTTCCCCCCAGTCCTTGTTGAGATAATCACATAGGAAAAATATGTAGCTACATGTAGTGACGAATATCGACGATCCCTGGATCCCTTTACTAGTATGGGGACATGGAGTAGTACTCCCCGGAAAGGACTAGAGTACGCGGACCAGTTAGTCAGTGATATATTCATACATTAAATTAACCCGAATACAACTACACCAATGCCCCAGAATTATCACTTACAAACAGGGTAATCAAGGCCAGAAAGGTAAGTAGGAGTCCCGGTGCACTGAGGGCCAGACCAGATGACAGCCGACGGATATCCCACAACCCAGGCGTAGGAGATGAGGTGGAAGTTGCAGCAGCGCTTGTTGCACCAGAGGCTTCTGTTGTACTGGTAGAACCAGATCTGGTACCAGTCTAGGGTCGAGCTGCTGAGCGTGTTCGTGCCAGTGCTTGTTTCGGTGGTTCCCTGGGATTCGGAGGCGTCGCCGGCGTCGAATGTGACGATGCCTTCTTCCTGGCGGGCTTCGAGGATGGGGCTGGCGATGGTGGTGAAGAAGAGGAGGAAGGTGGCGAGGAAGGCGAGGAGTGCTTTGGGATACATTTTGAAAAATATGGGTTTAGGAGTATATAGGTTGGTAGAGGGTGCTGTGTGTTTATGAGGTATAGAATACTAGCTGTGTTTGAGTCGATGATGGTGGATAGAAGAAAGGAGACCTAGAGCTGGATATACGGAGGTTTATATAGTTGATTTCTCGCTGATATTTGATATATATCGGTCGATACCCAAAAGACATCACAGAGAGAGAATTGTTGTCAGTGCATGAGTTGGTGATCGGTGCTATCCTAACCTTGAGTTCACAACCCCGCTCTCCAGCTCTCGTATTGCCTTGAAGTGCCCTTGGAAAGTATACACTTTTCACGATCCTCAATTGCTGAAGCTGAAGATTGATATGCCAAGAGTCGGCGCACTGCCTCCACTAAACAACATGAATAATTGACACTCTTCAAAGTGTTGATTTTATGTTTATCGATAGGTGGAATCGGCGATCACGTTCAAAGCACCTGTCGAGCTCTCTTTGGATGAAAAGAAACAATAGTACTGGTTAGTGACGGCCACAAAAACTAAGGTGTACTTGTTCCATCGCCAATAACAGAACCGGGCTTTGAAGTTACCAATAATTGAGATATGTGTTGTGCAAAACTCGATCAGTATCTGTGTAGGACCGCGAATAAGCCCAAGGGCTAATTAACCTAAAAAAAAAAAAACTATTCAGAACTTAAGGGCAAGGGCAATTGTGACATATATGTATGTCCATGACTTAAGCCAATCGACGTCGACAACCATCGTTTCCGATCCCTATCTCCAGCAAATTTCGAACCATTGTATCCCTACTGGCTCCCATTCTCCGAAAAATCCATGAGCCAAGATACTTAAAAACGCTGTAATACATTAGAAACAGTAGGTAGCAGCCCGTCCCATGGCCTAAAGTGTCATTAAATCCCAGGTGCAGTTCGAACCCACACGTGATGTTTCTGCCCTATAGTTATTTTTAGAAATCTTGCACCTAAATCCCTATTTGCACCTGAACGTGCAACAAAATAGAGCCTTTAGCTTTGAGCTCGAATGAAAAACCCCCGCGTAGGAAGAAAGACCGGACAACGTCGGCTTGGCAGGTGCTATTTGCAAATCATCCAATCCGTCATACATGTGGCGTACCTTTTTCTCCAGCAAACACTGGGACGGGTAAATACTGTCAATTTTTCAAGTCCTCGTATCGAAGATGCCCTGAATCTAGTGGCGGCTTAAACTAGCGTCTCGCAAATAGTAGATGATTAATATTGGTCACGATAATTCTCTTCACAACCAAATAGAGCGCGTAGATTCATATCCAGGTATTTAGGCATTCAGTCAATGATCGTGAAATCGGTGCAGCGAGCTATCACAAAAATTGGATTTAACGACAATTGATAGCGGTACCAAGCATGATAAAGTGATATTACTGTGTTTAACATCCTGTGAACAGTAAATCGATCAATAGTTTTTCAGGCTGAGAATTCCGAGTGATAAAGGGAAGTTTGTTACTAGATACCCTATTCCATTTAGCTGCCAGCCATTTTTGCTATCACCATTATTGCCCGATTGATATCCATAACCGGCACAGTTATGCGAGTTAATCCCTTTAAAAACTACCCGAATACCAGTTCATAGTATCAGAGATCCCTAAAACTTAAAATTTATAAGGTCACCATATCACTAATTTCCCTCAAAAATTCGCACTCGCACCAACAGTGACTCCTTCACTCGTTATCTTGAACCAAAACTGCCCAGTCCCGCCATTAACCTCACTCACCGCCCTCTGTAAGCCTCCACCCAACCCCACCGTATCTGAGAACCCCACAAACCTCCTCTCCTCATCCTCCCCAGACCGAAAGTGTCGTAGCACAATCTTCACGTTGACAAACGCATTCCACGGTGCGGGTAACGCATTTCTTAAGTAAGGTCTTTCTCTAGGCGTCTTTTCCTCTACCACGGACTTCGCTCCACGCAAGGGAGGTTGTGCATCTAGATCACCACCCCGCCGCCCCGAAAATCCAAGATTTGTGACTACAATATAGGCGCCCAGCGCTCCGGCCACCTCCTTTAGCTCCCGCACAATACTACTGTACCGCTCCTGCAGATCAATCCAATCCAAGTTTCCTTGCGATAACATGACAGCATGATAATCATTCCAACGGTCGCGCCATATGAAGCTTGAGATGCCGTCGATGAGGATGCTGTCAATACGGCGCCTGGAAGATTGGTGCTCGGCGGTGTAGAGGTATGATTTCAGAGACTGAATCGTGAGAAGGAGTTGTGCGGAGGATGTCGGGTGAAAGATGTGGACGTGTGAAAGGGCGGCTTTAAGGAGGCCATGGAGCTGACTGCTCGGGATTGACAGAATCTGGAGGTACTGTTTGGCGTATCCCCGCATTACCTCGTATAGCCTGTTGACAGAGAATTGCGACTTGCAGTCGACTATCACGACCGCGCGACCCTTTCCCCCAAGTTTGGAGGGGAGAGTTGCGACAGCGCAGATGAGATATAGAAGGTGAGTTTTGCCGCAAGAGCCGCGGGATGTGAGTTCGATTACTGGGAGGTGGAGGCGTTTTGGGAGGGCCTTTTGAGCTGCTGTTAGGGATGGGTTGAGGATAAGGTCGAGGAGGGCGTCAATGGCGGGAATTTGAAGGAGATCTTGGTTGGGATTGTCTTTGAGACGTTTGCTATTCATGAACTACACTTGTACCCAATTAATGAAATAACAAACTACAATTGTACCCTAGATCTATTGTAGGTAGGCAAGGGCTTACAGAAATAAGAGATTGACGCTTGATTTTTCCAGCCAAAGCTGGAGAGCTGAATGGGAGAGCATCTACATTTGGTGAATTTAGGGCACACATGATCGAATCGTGTATTGAGGTTGGGTCGTGATGTTTTATTCTATGTCGTAACGTCATTAGAGCTTATTCACCGGACTGGAAATTACTATTGTATGGGTATTTCCAAGCCTGCTTCAACCGCTGGCTACATGCATAAGGCCTAAGCATGCAGCATACACCCAACATCGTTGAGCTTACATGTACGGTGTCGGACAGCCAAAACCAGCCGGCCAGAGCAACCACCGACTCCCCTTCACCCCATCGACTTTCAACAACGCAACACTTGTCCAAAAATAATGTTCTTTTGTATAATGGGTCTAATCATGGTTGTAAACATCCCTATAAAAGGGGATTTAAAATAATTAAGAACTGGCTGCACTATGACCTCTCAAACATTTGGTGCAATCTTCCCGAAAAAAACAATAGCTTTATGCCAAGGCGGCCACATTAATTGGAATAATTCTTACCCTATTTGGATGATTCGATGATTATTATTACCCGATTAGGACTAGTTTCTGGCTTGAAAAGAACATGAGGGTTGATTTTGACTGTCCGGCGCTGTACTTGTATGTACCTACGCAGCTAGAGTGGAGAAAACCTTAAATGATAGATGCATTTTGGCAGGTATCCTTCCTGACTGCGTAACTTTATAGGGGAAATCAAACTCTGAATCAAGCTTTTAATATTAAAGCAGGTGCATAGCTTGATTGTGGATATCGTGCGCATAATTAAGAATATTAGTTGACGGAGCCTAAGGCAAGAAACCAGAAATACAGACCTCGATGGACAGGGAAATTTCCAGAGGATATGTCCCATCGTTAAATATCGTTCGATGAAGAATTTTGAGTGTGTAGTTTCGATTTGAGCTGTTATATCCCTGTAAACCGTTGTTTCAACGTAACACGAAACATTCATCAGGATCTTGGATATTATGTGCCTCGGCCAGAGAACTCAATCCGTATATATTGAAGAATTGACCCTCCCCATCCCCTCACCCCACTATTCATGTAAACTGCCGGTTTTCCGGATGAATAAAAAAGACTGTCTGTATGTAGATAAAGTAGTTGCATGAAAACAGACATCTCATACAAACTGAGAGGATGTAGAGCAGATATATACCCTGTCAAGTAAAAACAAAGCAGGAATAGTGGGGCTTGGCGCAAGGGCCTGGCCAATAGAACCACACTGATTGGTAGTAGTCAAAATCCTTCACAATATTTGAGTACCTACCCCGCAGGGGAAAGAACGCAGCCACTGGCAGCGTCCTTACATAGATACCCCCGTACCTCTTCGCCATCTGTTCATACCTTCGTAACCTGAGACATCGACACACAATTCGATCTTTCAATCTTGCTCACGATGAACCCCGCAAGGCTATCATTGACAACGCTGCGCGTCGCAGTCAGAAGCTCGAATCGTCATATCCAACGTCGAGGACTCGCTACTCTCTCAAGCGAGCCGGTCAATGTTGTCGCCGAACCAAAGCCGTCTTCCTTCTCACCCCTCCAAGATGCGCTTGCTGCGAAAGAATCCAGGAACAATTGGACAAAGGCCGAGATTGAGAGCATATACAACACAGGCGCACTAGAGTTAGCCTTCGCTGCTGTATGTATTCCTGTCTTCCGAAATATAGGGAATAGGTCAGGCCAATTGACTCATCTGCTGCTATGTGTAGGCAACAATCCACCGCCGATTCCACAACCCATCCTCAATCCAGATGTGCACGCTCATGAATATCAAAACCGGTGGCTGCAGTGAAGATTGCTCATACTGTTCCCAATCTTCCCGGTACGACACGGGCCTCAAGGCCACTAAACTCTCCAACGTCGAGGCGGTCCTCGAGGCCGCCAAGATTGCTAAAGCAAATGGTAGCACCCGGTTTTGCATGGGCGCAGCATGGAGAGACATGCGAGGTCGTAAGACGAATTTGAAGAGAATTAAGGAGATGGTTTCTGGTGTTAGGGCGATGGACATGGAGGTGTGTGTTACGTTAGGAATGATTGATGATGAACAGGCGAAGGAGTTGAAGGAGGCTGGGTTAACAGCTTACAACCATAATATCGATACCTCGAGGGAGCACTATCCTAAGGTAATCACTACACGCTCATACGACGAGCGATTGAACACCATCTCGAACGTCCGTGATGCTGGAATTAGTGTGTGCACGGGGGGTATTTTAGGACTGGGCGAAACACAGGAGGACCACGTTTCTTTCCTTTACACCCTGGCAACTATGCCTTCACACCCAGAATCATTGCCGATTAACTCTCTGGTTCCGATCAAGGGAACGCCTCTTGGTGATACCAAGCCGCTGCCATTCACGTCGATTCTGAAGACGATATCAACTGCTCGTTGTATCATGCCAACCAGTATCATCAGATTAGCTGCTGGTAGAATAACGATGTCCGAAGAACAACAAGCGCTGTGCTTTATGGCTGGAGCCAATGCGATATTCACTGGCGAGAGGATGTTGACTACCGACTGTAGCGGCTGGGATGAAGATAAGGCTATGTTTGATAGGTGGGGCCTTCGTCCGATGAGGAGCTTCGTGAAGGACGAAATCACGGCACCGTAATATAAAAATAAAAGGTGGCCATCAGCATACTGAGGACGGCCCTCAGATGCAGGCGCTAGCGATGAGGAAAGTAGGGATGCTTTTCCTTGTGATTTCGGGTTATTTTCCTTTAGTTCATTGATCATCATCCATCGAGTCGTTATATGAAATAGCAATAGACTTACTGCATTTAAGATACGTATATAAAATAGTGACAAAATATGTTCTTTGTGCGTTCGATGGTTCGTATCCGCCGGATGTCGATATTAATTAGACCCATCAGCAGCGAGGTTGCTCATGTCCCGGCCCAGGGGATGTAAATACTATGGGAACTGCTCAATGTAATCCAGATGTCGATATCTCAAGGATTGTAGTCCGATCTAGTTGTTCCCGCGAGTACATACAGCACTTGCCGTCAGGAGAATTAATTTCAATTGTGATTGCAGGAACTATGTCTTAATGGGTGCGGGTTGAATTGGGATTCGGCGCTCGATCTTAAGATCTTGGCCCTGACGAGCCCACTCAAAAAACCATTCAATGTTCCTTTAGCGGCTCCATCTCCTCAATCCTGACCAAGCGAACCTCTAGCCACATCAAAACACGCATCATTCGTCGACTCCTCCCCTGTTCTACGCCATGGATAATTATAATATGATCCTAATGTTAGATCATTACTCTTTTATTTGGTATTTCTGGGTATTCATCTGGCTATGGCTTACGGATCCGGAAAGACTTCATCAGGCTTTACAAGACCTTTGAAGGATCGTAGATGTGCTATCAATCTTTCGGGAACTGGCACTCGAGGAATCTGGTGCGCAGCCTGAAATATGCGTATATGTTCGAAGGTTCATATACAATAAAGTATCTAAGGAAGTCAACAGAAGAATTTTGATGGAGGTGATTTGGTTTTTCGGGAGGGATTGAGATAAGTGTGATCGGTAGTTTTCTAAATGCTTCAGGTATGTGAAGGTGTAGGCCCTCCCACTCCTTTCACCATGTGTTTAGAAACTATTTTTCTCTCCTCCTAAATTCTATTGGTATTAACTTGAACCAGTAGTTTCGGATCAAAAGCTGGTATATATGTACGGATGAATACCTAAAAAACGAATCCTATCCCTATTGTATCTGTCAGCTGTCAGGTTCTTATGTTGTGGAATAGAGAAGTACGTACGCTGAGGTATGTAGCTTCCTTCATAGTGATCAGGGTCCTGCCATCGTGAGTCCTAATGAGCTCCTCTAGGTCTATTGCGCCTTGCCATAATGCCCAGAATTATTAGGCATAGGTGGGCAATATTATCGGAGGCAAACTGGTTAGACTTATTGATAGAACTTCCTAATAAAGATACACATAATAGAGAAAGGGAGCTCGAGTGCTAGAGTGACATATCACGATGTGAAAGTACAGCTCGCTTCGGTACTGGAGGTAATAGCTGTGCGCTGTGGGGAAACCTTTCGGGTTGGAGTGGTGACTTTGCTGGGAGCAATGGTGCATGGCCAGCTCCCAATACCTACTCTACCCAAGTCTTCATTTCATGTTTTCGGAACTGCGTCGTGGTATCTCCAGAGCTGTGATTCAACCAAGCTTTGGTCACGGTTTTTAATTATAGTAACTTTATGCACGTGACGATACCTGCATGAGGCTCCGGGGCAGAGCTAGCAAAAGTAAAGTTCGCGACTCCATACTTCATGATCACAGGCTGCGAAAGTACAGCTGTAATAAATCGCCAGATTATATAGGGCTCCCTGGCAAACAGAGTGCGCACGTGCTATGGACAGGTCGTCAGTAACTTATCCCTCTCTGTAATATCTATTGAGTGTACTAGTTATTGACAAAATAACAGGAACGACATCAAAACCAATACCATAATGACGTCGACGATATCGAAGACTTCGAGGGCGAATCACAACCAATATCCACATCCCAGTACCCCCCAGCGATAAAAGTGCCATTGCGTTCAGAACAGCAGCCGATGTCAGCGGCGCGCTCGACGCCAAAGCCACAGCAAGGGATACCACAGAGCTCAGGGAAGAGGAAGGGTTTCTATGATGGTATAGATCCAGATCTATTCGCACTAGCGGATGTAAATGAGAGGAATGGATCCGGAACCAAAAAGAAGCCAAAAATGGGATTCTTAGCTAGGGACAGCCTTTCGACCTTCCGGGGGCCTCTAGGAGAGCCACCGAGGATGATATAACATCCACAAAGACAGGGAAAGTGCCGGAATCTGTACAAACACAAGAGCATTTCGAGTTTCCTACACCGACCCCTCAAACTCAATCGAAAAAATCCAGAGGCTTCGCCATAGACCCAGATCTCCTCGCTGCCGCCTCTCCGGTGAAGGAGAAACCAGAACGCGCGGTAATAGGATGGAAACCGTCTATCTCACAGGCGATTGCAGCCCCTGATTCAAGCTCCAGGGTTCTATGGCCGACAGAATCGTTCCGAGCTACCCCTCAACAGATGACCAAACATAATCCAGTCCCTAGTGATGACATTGTCCCCGAAACATCCCCCCCACGCTTCACAACGCCTCCACGTCAGAATCTGCCTTTGCTCAATGATGATTCTCAAATTTCTACTACAGATTCTATAGAGGACCTTGTCTCGCCCAGAAAATCGGAAAACCTTCGCCCCAAGACCGAAGATTTTGATATCATACATTCAGATATTGACATCACATCTTCACCCCCACTGAGTCCATTATCTTCCCACTCCTTCAAACCGAAGCACAAAGATGATGATGGCTCTGTTAGCGGCGACTCTCTTCCCGACGATCTTATGACCCTCGATAATCCTGTCACCCCGTTGCCAATACACAAACGCCTTCTAAAAGAACTAACCCAGCAGTCCCCAGCGACACCTACGCCTCAAACACCCCGACCAGGTTACTTTAACATCCACGACCTACAAAAATCTGTCATCATACCGAAAACAGAATCCTCTCGTGCTCCGGATCCACAACACCGCCGGTACAGTCCTGGCGGCCTCGCTGATACAGTATTGGGATGGAGGGAGGAACTTCATAGTACTTCTCTTTTCAAGCAGAGGGTACAGCCGATTGGTGTAGACTATATCATCACTGTCATCGAGGTGGTTCAAGATGGTGACATGATAATTGTTAAGGGGCATGGAGTAGAAGGCGTTGTGAGGGCCATTATTTCGGGCCCAGTGAGGCTGGGGTTGCAAATCACTGTAGGGCAGGTGGTGCGGTATGGAAGGCCGTGGGTACTAGTGAACCTACTAGGAGAGGAGTGGAAGTCTTTAATGGGAAAGGTAGAAGTCATAGAAAGGGATGTAGATGTAGATATGGGTGAATAGGTAGCGTTATCATCTCTGGCCAGTAATTCGCCGTGTTTAAAGCAAGGTGGTGGGTGATAGAAGGCTAAGGGTAATAATGGTCATGCAATATCACTCGAATTTATAAATAGGTTATATTTGAGACTTTTATCGAATAAATAAGTATACTCAATATAACCCATATAAACCGCGCTAGCCCTTGAATTCTCTCCAGAGCGGGGCAATTATAGGTTCTAGGAAGATTTACTGGGTGTTCAGCATCAAATCATAAACAATGTAGTTTGCACCCTATTCTAGTTTCTTGGGATGATAGCAGTTGTTTACTAGCGGCGTGCCGTTTCTATATCAAGCAAAGAGGTGAAAATTAATTTCTTCTAGGCTGCCAGAGATGTCATTATCCAATAGAAAGCAGTTTTTCATAGCCTTCCTCTATTAGAGTATCTTGATCCTGTGATCGCATGAAACGACTGAAAATCCCCTTTGCTATAGTATCTTCGGCAATGAAGAGAACGATCACGATCAGATGCGATAGTCAGGAAGCGATGAGACGAGTAAAACGCAGACAACAGGCATCCGGAGAAATGATGGCCCACAAGATACGCTACTGGTATGATGCGGGCAAGACACAAAAGGTCCGAGTAAGATTGGAATGGGTTAAGGGACATAGCAGGATAAAAGGAAACTCGGAAGCAGATAAAGCAGCGAAAGAAGCCATCAACAAAGGGAGAATCGACAACGAATGGTTTGTTTCTTTTGCGTTCCTAGAAAGAGAGTCCCGAGAGGAAGCAATAAGAGAATGAGAGGTGGAGTGGGAGCCGAGAGCGAACAAGGAGAAAGCGGTATTTAAACCGTCGCAGCGAAACACCATTAAATTTGACGACACGGACCGGGCGGACAGAGTTATTATCAGCCGGCTCAGGACAGGTCATATAGCGATCAACAGATACCTAAAAAGAATAGGAAAGATCGAGAGTGCCGAATGTGAATGCGGCAAAGGGGAGCAAAGCGTAACTCATATACTCACCGAATGCGAGGCAACGGCCGAAACCCGCAAATCCTTTAAAGAGCACAATACGGTCGTCAAACTCCTTTGGAAGGCAAGTGGTATTGAAGCAGCTATAAAAATCTGGAAACAATTTGCCAAATGGAGACACAAAAGGAATGGACAAGACGAAGATGGAGAAGAGGAGAGAAGGGAACTAGGGTACGGGTGGGGGACGTTGAAAGAGGCAGGGAGCGAGGAATAGGATGTGAAAAAGAGTTCGGGGCGTGTTTCCTATGTTAGAAATATGTGAGAGGAGGCAGAGGAGAAGGGATAGTTCAGGGGTATTGCCATAACTGTAAAGTTGCATGCAATTAATGAATTAAACAAAACAAAAAAAACAAATATCTTCGGCAATGCTACGGCCAAGGCCAAATCGAGATACCGGAAGCCTAAGGCAGTAAAATCTTTCTTGCTCATGCTTGTTTTGCGACAAGGCTTTACGCCTCACTGCATAAAACAGCCTCAAAATACCTTATACCTTCAGTACTTCCGCGGGTAGCTAGACGCGCGTGGCCTTTATTGTTTATTGATCACTATTCTGGTTCAGAACATGAGAGAAGGAATAAGTAGCGGCCTTTTCACTTTTGTAGGTATGGCACGAGAGGGGTTTAGCATGCGCAAACAAACATTGAATCAGATTTCGATCTACGAGGCGGTAAAGCCAATCTGTTGGTGTTCAGCTACGTACATTGCATTGATTCTTCGCCATAACTTCATCCGAATTATCAAACACCACTACGCCCACCATGGCCGCGAGGTTTATGCATATATGTACACGTCGTAAAACATGGCACGTTATCCTCTGAGTTGATCTGATTTGGTGTTGGAACTGGCGCTCAATATCTGTTCATAATCAACTGTCCATTTACGTATGTGTATTTGATATGTATACCGCCATTACCACAACAGTTTCAATCACTGGCGGCAGATATTATCATGAAAGTTGTTTCAGTGTTGCCTGCCCCGCCTGTCTTCCTTGTTTTGTCTGTATGATTTGTCTCATGCTTTCCTTGAAGAAACGTCAGCAATCGATGTTTGGCTACAACATACAACCACAGAAAACCCTCAAACTACTATGTACATGTAGTATATTTATGCCAACTTTCGCGCTTAACTCGCTTAGACCTTAGCCAGGTACATGTACTCTACTAAATAACCTTGACCCTTAGCCACGTGGCGGAGCTCCGGTGGCGCCACTCCTTATTTTGGCTCGCTATTGTCTCACTAGTATAGTATATCCGGTAGGAGATTGAGTATAATATAGTAATGCTGAAGATGAACACAGTATAGGAATCTTGTCACTGCGTAGAAAGCGTTTACAATTAATAGTGAGCTTGTGCTGTAGTTACTTCACTAAGTTTGGCTTCTGTCGGAGAGTATGTACATATCTATATCTCATATATATATGCATGCTAGCTCAGGAAGTACGCGCTCTTGTATTTATTTCACCGACCATAGGCTATCTCCTCTTACAGCTTAACATAGTATTATGAATACTATGTCATGTTTCCCCTGCTTGTTAATGCCTAGCTATTGTTAGGTACATGTACACAGGCAGCCCAGATATCGTAGGAGGAATAATTATCACCTATCAGTAGAGTAAGATGTACGTATGGAGTAGAGCCGCTTCACTAACAATCTAGTACCGCTGACAAAAAGGAAGAAACAGTTTCAAAACTGTTACTATCCCCCAAATCCCCTGAAGCAATTAATTTAGGTGAGCAGTAGGGCTAGTAAAGGGCGCTGACAAAAGACCAGACCGCATGGCGCCTGAAGAAAACTTCCCGGAGATACGGAGTAACGGGAGTTTTACCGTATCAGCACTCCAAAATTGTTAATCAGGATGAAATTTCAGTCATCGTCTCCAGTTCTCTGGATTCCTGCTTTGAAAATGTGAACCTGCATTTACCACACGCCTACCTCACCTCGATCTGTCTGGGAGGCTTTACCGGCCTACCCTACCAAAACTCAAATCTGTAGATTTCTAGCTCAGATATCCTTCATTGTGGGGTGCTGAATAGAAGGGAAGACACATAGCCGCTGATGCTTACCGATAGGTACCGCAAGCTCATACTATCAGTTTGGTATTGCAATGTTTTCGCATTAACCAACTTCCCAATGCCGGATGGTTCGGAATTTTTGTGCCACCTGGTTACTGGCCACCCCACTGCAGGGCCCTTGATAGCTAACCCCCGCAGTGGATGTAGATTTTGGCCTTAATACGAACAAACCAGGCGGCGTCTTCTCACGCAGATTTGGTTTCTTGTTTTCCAGGCTACACGTTAAAACCTCTACGCATGACAGACAAGCTGAAAATGTAATCTTAAAAGCACGGGACCATTGGTTACGAAAATGCCTTGAAACTTCTCTATCTCAGGTAGGTAAGCCCAGTAAGTTCTGTGCTGTGCCTATCCTCACGCATTAACGAACGCAAGCATGAATTCATTGACTACGTGTGTATCTGAATCTTGTGAAACGTGGATCTCGGGTTACACGCATACACCCCTGTAGGAACAATCATGGGAGCCGAAGGCAGATCAAACCCGTTTCTAAAGCGATTTAGCGACTCAAATAAGAGGCTCTTTAGATCTAAAGATCGACAACGGGGGTGCAGGTTTGAAGGTAAATATTGTCAGATACCAAAATTAACCGAGCTCTTTTGTCCTTCCATGAGTCTAGTTTCAGACTATCTAAAACCAATTATAGATTTGATGGTAGAAACTCCTCGGATTGAGCCATAATCAAGGGAACACACAAAGAAATCCTTCTAATCCTAAACTGGAGTGAAGGTATCACCAGATCTCAGCTCTTACTCTCCGTTCCGAGTGTTGGTCTAGGGTTCGATAGGTCTGGGCATCTGATACCTAGCCAGGCAGCTTATATCGATAATATGCTGCTGAAAAGATGGGTTCTTATTAAAGAAGCCAAACCCGACGTACAAAGTGAGTGTGATCCAGAAACCACTACCAACCAACCCGGAGCACCCCACCTTCCTCCAGAAATCCATCAAACCGCAGTAATGAGCTCTCCCGGTGTTGGGTTGGAGGGTTCAAATTACCAAAACGTAAGTATTTCTTGATTGCGTGTGGCGAAGCTGAGCTTCCTTACTAATTCGTATGAGTTTGAAAGCAGCCGAAAATCGAATGCAAAATTTTGAAGGTTGACAGCCACGTACTCGAACGTATCATTTTCTACCTAAAATCGCCAGGTATCCACAAGGGTCGTACTATACATCTAAATGGCCAATCTGGAAGACACGAGACATACGAATCAGACCCACAAGACTTATATCATACCCTTCTTACCTGTAAGGCAATATTCAAACCATACGAAAATATCCTGCAAAAACAGAAGCTTCTTGAACTGTTCTACCTTCAGATTGCCAAACCCCCACATCATGAGTCGCGGTTAATTGAGATGGAGGTCCCAGAAAAATTCCGAAAGTTTGTTGCTAAGGAGGAAATGCAACATCATGCCGGTTCAGTGTTGCAGGACTCTGTTGGGATTGAATTTATTTCCCAGTCGATGGGATCATTGAGTCTTGGACAATCATACAAAGTCGAAAACAGCACCAGTGATGATCTGGTTGATCTCTTGAGTCAAAATTGCGTCAAGCGGGCCGAAACTTTTGGATTCAAGAATGAAAAAGACCAGTCTGAAGTGGATATATTGAGGGACCTAAAGAATCAGTTTCTCGGAATAATCAACTTCTATCAATACGATACGACACAGGATTATTTTGTGAACGGTGGAAAAGCAGGAGGGCACCGGCCAAAGGAATTTTGGGCAATGATCTGCCATTGCAAGAAGGATAGGTTTTTGGTCCTACATAGTGTCGGTGGGAAAGTTTGGGATCGCAATTTTGCCTGTCCAAGAGTCGCTGAAGTCACTAGCAAATAGTAAGTTCCATCATTTCTGTCCTGAATTATACGTATCGTGAAATCAAGTCTAAGGAATCAACCTATTCGTTGTGATATTTCTGCATGATCTTATGAACCTTGCTAACCCTGGACTTTAGTGCTCACGCGAGAAATACCTACGAAGCCGCATTGACCACAGGACACTAGTCAGCACGGGCTTGTTCAATAGTGTCATAAAAGGCCAAAATTGTATGTTCCTGTTTTGTCTGTTTCGGCTATTGGAGGTTTTACTTACGAATGGGCGTTTGCAATCACAAATTGCTGTTCCGACAGAATGAGTGATACCTTGTGATTTGGACTGCCGTTGTGAAATAAAATCTTTGCTTTTCTTTTCATGGAAGGAGCAATTAGTGATGATCAACAAGTCTATTCAATGAATTATAAGTGGCGAAAATGGGGAAAGTTTACCAACTGGTGTTACGCATGCTCTTTCGTACCTTCCTCTCGTGAGATAATCGACAAATATAGAAATTTCCGCAGTATTAGCGTTATCGGGCTTTGGCAGGAACGATGTGTAGATAAGGTCAGTTCAAATGAAGAGGCACGCAGAATTTAAGTAAACATGATAAACCTGTGAGAATCTTGAGAAGTGCGAGTGAGTGCCACAATATAAACTCGGAACCAATCTCAGAGGGAAGTTCGAAGTGATGTTAGAGTATAAGAGCATGAAGTAAGGCACTCGTGTAACCTGAGTGTTCAGGGCATGACGTTACTTGACCACCGGGTATATCAGCTGTTTCAGAATCGCTATTAGCCGGGTTGAGGCATAAAGCTTAGTACACCCGTAGTCAGTCATGTTACAACTCATCCAACCTCTAATAAAATCATTCGATTGTTTTAGGTAATGGATCACGTGATGACCGTAATTTGTCATAATTCATCACTCGGTAAACCCCAATGTTGGGGGAGTTCGATCTCGGCGGCGTGTATGTACCTCACACAACAATACAATATGTGATATCGATTCCTAAAGCGTTAATAATAAAATTCTAAGACAGCCTCTATGTAGGGATTCTCACATTGAGGATTGGACTGACGGACTGGTAGAGGTTGAGTATGTGGAAGGGAGTAGAGAAACAAGAGGGAGTCCCACTCTCGTAGATAAATAGACGTGGTTGTAATTCAATTTGTGGAAATCTTAAAAAGTGATTTGTTCTGTTCTTTGACGTGGGAGCATCAAGTGCACACTCGGGCCATAGTCATAGATATGTAGCTGCCAAGACCGAATTTGCCACTGACTAAGCCATTTAACTCTCAGTTCGAAAGGGATATGTACTTGCCGGATTTTAAAGAGTAGGACGGAAGTACAAGGAAGGGTGAGTCGCAACCGTACGTGCTTGCACCTGATATAACACCGAGCAACACCGAGCAAGTATCATAACCATACGTTTTTCTAGAGGAAAATACTAGTATATTGGTAACAATAATTATCAAGCATAGCGGATTGAATTCATTGCATTGGGCTTCGTCGAGTTGGACTTCGTTGTGTTGCGTTGCGCCGTTGCAGCACTGAGGTCGTTGTATTTCCGTCCTACTCTTTAAAATCCGGCAAGTACCATTAGCACCTGACATATTACACGTAGCTACATGTAGCTTTCCCAAAAACAAAGATATGAGATAAAATATCTAGCTCTTTCAATGAGAGATGGATTTAGATTACGTCTCGGATCAGCATGTCGTCCTCTAACACTTAGACCACTACCGCAGTAATTCGTCTCAGCGGGCACTCACATTGACGTTGGAATTGCTTGTTCTGGTCATTTGTCTTGAAAACGCCCCCCTAATCTTCCCTCATATGCTGAAAAAGGCAACTTCGACGTCTGTGTAACCGTCCGCTGAGAAAAATTAATGCGATATTAGCTCCCATGTGGACAATATTTGGCTTAGGAGAAAGGATTGAATCCAAGGTAAAGTCGAAGAGCCCTCAAAAGATTTGATTTTCCCCACCCAGCAGCTAATCTATATCTCCATGTCATTGACATTGACGGTGTGGTAAACTACTGTCCTCATGCTCACAAGTCCTCAATTAATCAGGTGCCCGCGGTACCGGCCTACGTACCTCAACAGTGAGATCAACCCCGCGATACAAGACTATATGTATCTGTTCTTAGATTCAGAGTTGATATCTCTAGCTAAGTTGAGATTCAGGACTACATGTATGTCTGATAGGGTTAGGACATGTAGTCCTGCCGCTGCTGCTAATACTTCTAATCAGTCTTCGTATATATACGAGCGACCCCCATCAATTGTGGAGGCCGACGCTTTAATCGTGATTAAAAAAGAAAAATAAAAGGCTCGGTCGATCGACATTAATCCATATGGACCAGATACTTTATTTTCTAATTTTTCTTGGAGTCATTTGACATCTTCAATCCCTAAATTAATTATCCACATGTACAGGTAACTAGCCCCTTCATGTCTTGATACATATCGAATATCCTGTTCATATAATTATTTAAGTTTACTTTCTCTTACTGACATCTCTTCTAGCTGTTTATCATCATCCAATCCATCTCAGTCCTCCATCTCTAGGCAGAAACTGAAATTCGAAACGATCACTATGAACTTGCAATTCATGAAAAAGCTGAGCTTAATCAGTTATTGTTGACCCTAATATCGCTATCTAAATCTAGTCCTCTATCATCACTTCTAGTTCATTCCAAATTACCGTTTTACTTCAAACCATGCATCGCCAACTTCCTCCCAGTTCTTGTATCACCTCTAACGCCACTCCAAACCACCATCTAACCTCAAACTACGCATCGTCAACTTCCTCCCGATTCTTCTTAACGTACTCACCTTCGGAGGCGCCCCTTCCGGCACAACGGTCCGATGTTTCACCCTCTTGATGATTCTAATTCCCCGCGCTCTCAAGCGATCTCTTTTCCTCCTCATGGTCGCCTCAGGCAACTCCCCAGGTACCCTTTCAAGTTCCGGCAGCTCCGTGATACCCGCCTCTCCCGCAGGCGGGTAGGCCCGCCATGTGTTGTCTTCGGTGTGATGATACATCGCTACATCGCCGCCCTCAAAATCCTCAGGCGCATGAAAAATATCGGGAGTATTATTGGGGATAGCTACTAGATCTGAGGGGCCTCCAGCGCGCGCATTAGCGTTGGCTTCGGGCTCATCGCTGATGCCAGAGTAGTAATAGTCCGAGTAGGAGTAGTCGTTAGCGCGAGCGTCGGCGAGGACGGCGGCAATCTCTTCTTCGGTCGGGGTGCGGGGTCTGTTGTCGTCAGTCATATTGAGCTGGTAATTGGTGGTTTGGTTCTTAACAGATTTTTGATAATTATCCCTATTGGACGGTTTGCTTTTTAATTGCGGGTATGATACTACTGGGTGCTGGAGTGAGATTGGATGGAGAATCGAAAAGCTACAGCTGGTTCCATGGCTTTTATTGCGATAAATTGTTACAAGAGTTCTCAGAAGTGTTCTTGAAGAAGCTCGCATCTTGTAATACTTGTGTAAGTATTCTTCATGGTGCGCTCTGAATTCGTCAATTGAATCTCGAAAGACAACTGTGGGTTAGGGTTAGTTGAGTTTATTGAAAAAGGAACGCGCAGAACAAGAGAATAGCGAATTCAGAGCTAACTTGAAAGACATAAAAAGTAGTTCCCGAGCAATTGGAACTGTGGGGTATAATCATGGATTTCCTTCTGTGTATCCCCTAGGCGAGAATCGAAAGCCTTGGTGACTAGGATGGAGTTAATCGTGCGATATAATTCCCATAACTACATCATAGGACGAAGTGACATAGCCTGAAAACTATCGAAGAGTTCAATCTCTAGAAGAAAACTAAATTAGCGCGGGAGGAGAGACAAAGGAATAATATCGCAATTTGTGGCTTTACTTTGCTGAGTTTGATTGATATCCGCGTAGCTAGGCAGAAATTCGAAAGGGGGAAACAAACAATTACGTTCATCGAAGCTTCCAGGGTTGTCCCTGCAAGTATCTGTAAGATTATGCCTATTTCTCCAATTCACAAACTATTAAAACGAGGCTAATTGTTAGTAGCTTGCTAGAGCGGTGTGTTATGAGTGACGTTCAAAATAGGGATAAGGGAACGTGTTTGATGCTATGGCCATGGGTCAATACATGTACCTTAAGTTACGCAAGTTACATGTATGTAAGTCTGCCGAAATCTACGACCCCACACCTGCCATAGCAGGTAAATACATGCAATTGTCCTGTTGAGTTCTCCATATACATCAATCCACAATCAGCATCTATGTGTAATGGTCGCTTGTTAGGAGGCAGGGAGCTACATGTAGCCTTCTCAGCCAGTAGCTACCCCCATTCATGATCAGAAAGCCTATAGGCTCTCCATGTATAAGAAGTTCGCCTACGGTCCGAGGAGGGATCGACTCAAACCCCGGCATACGCCGTGCTGATCTGTTCCTTCCGGATCCGTTCGCACAGACGGTTTGCTGTTGTCGATCCGGAGTGCGATCCAGGACGACTGCGAGGCCGTGCAAGTCCGACCGACCATTCAACCTCAGACACCTTCCGATCGAGACCTTCACAACCTCAAACCACTTACTACGTCCAAACATCGATTATCCCTATCTGGCATATTTCATTTCCACGCCCGCTGCCGACCTCCCGCTGGTCTAACCGCTTTCGGCATAGTGGCCTCGAGTGATGGTCCATGATTGGATCATCCGTAAGGCAGTTGCCGATTCCCGCCAGCGAAAATATCTCGCTATATTGTCTGAGCTTTGAGGGGTAAAAACCGAGCTTCCGCCGGACGCGTAAGAGTGGGCTGTGTACTTGCACAGTAGAACTTGTGTGTGGGCCAATTGTGCTAAGCAGGTTGTAAATTTGAGGACGTCATGGGGAATGAACAAGCCTTGATTTCCAGGGTCCAACCAGGGGTAATCAATTAATCCGTTGAAGATCAAGGCTTGATTCTTGGGAACTAGGTCTCTCTGGTCTATTATCCCTTTGTTCTGTGTCGTTTTTTAGCTCCGACAGATATAGCTCTAGAGCCTTGTGTGGCATCAAGTGCCGAGTTGCGCAGCTTTCTCCGGAGGACAGGTGGGTATATAAAGTAGAGCTCATGGCCTAAAGATATCAACATCAAACTCTCTCACTATTCATACAACTCTCACTCACTCATATTACTCTATACACAAACCTTCACACAACTATGTCGTTCAGCGAGACCACACGATACCACCAGCTCATCGACGGCCGAATCCTAGAGGCCGAATGCCTCAATGAGTACGGTGATTGGGTTCGCTCCGCCATTGACCTCAACAACTACATTGGCAACATCAATGGTAGCCTCTACCCCTACTCCTATTTCCAACGTTTATATACTCATCAAGAATAGGAACCCTTGAATGGGACAGCGCCGGTTTTTTTGATACCGCCGTCAATGTCAACTTGGTCGAGTTTGGACGAAGGCTCGAGGCTGTTCTGGTTAGGGAAAGCGGGATGGAAGATATCTGTGGTCTGTGGCTTGACGAAAGGATTTCCAACATTAACGGAGAGCTCGTTTACCGTAAGCAGACCTCATCTTTACTGGATTTATGAGTGCCTATACTAATTAACTAATTGGCAACAGAGGGCGGCGGCGGATATCAACAAGGAGGATTTCAACAACCGGGATTAGGGCAGGTGATCGAAGACGTAGCCTACATGGAAGAGCAGAGAGTCGAGAACGATATCTACCGAGACGAAGCCAGAGTTGAGGGCGCATTCTACGGGGCTGAGGCTGCAGTCGAGGGGGCAGTCTACAGGGAAGAAGAGAGGATCTACGACGATGAGGTTAGAGTTGAGAATGACATCTACCGGGATGAGGCCGAAATCGCGGCTGTAGAGAACTTCAGGCCAGAAGTGGAGGTGGAGGTTGACTTTAACGGAAGAGGTTACTACTAGTTTTAAATTTGGGATATATCATGGAGTTTATTTCACTTAGCGTTAGTATCATTCGGAATTGAAGCCGTGTTCTAGAAATTAACCTACATGCACTCTTGAAGCCGGCGTTTTACCTTTTGTATCTCCGAAACTATACTCCGAAAAATATTAGGGTCGGGTCTCACACAAATGCGATAGGGTTGTCCCTTGGTGGTGAGGGCAGTGAGTGAAACCCGAAATTTCGGCATTTCTCCCGAGAGGTGCGCCACCAGCCCGGGAAAAGGTTTATGCGGGGAATGGTGTTGGTGGCGCTTCGTAGGGCTGAAAGTGTCTCGGAGGTCAGGACGGAGATCGCCGCATGACAATGTTGCGTTATGCCAAGGAGAGAATAAACCTCTAGCTCTCTGGCCTTGCTTTTACGTCCCTTGAAGATATTATAGCGATATGGCAGCGCTCGTAATAGGGGGTTGTATGCTACTGTTGTGGGCGGACACAATGGCTGTTTCTTGACGCCAAGGTCTGTATTTATCCTACTCTTCCTCCCATTCAGCTCCTTTTCCTATTCCCTGGAATCAATCCTATCATCATCATGGATATATCTCAATACCTCCCCTAATCATCCATTCTGAAGAGACTCAGGCTAGGTCTCTCTGAGTTTGATCCCCGAAAAGACTCAGTCTTGGCGCCGAAATTGCGATGGAAGCTAAATTGCTTTTGCTTCACCACCGGTCACTCGCAAAATTCCAATTTTTTACAATGTTCCTGGCCAAGGAGACTTTTATTTTAAACAAAAAACACTAAATACATCTCTCAAAAATTTTCAATCCACCAATAACCGATCTTCCAGAGATCTCCCTTCATCCCCGCCTAAAAATACATACCACTTAAGAAGGAGGAGCACCCATGCCACCGGTTGGGGCGCCACCAGCTCCAGTAACAGTTCCCGTTCCGGTACCGCTACCGCTTCCAGTGCTCTTGTTTGCCGTGAGGTCCAAACCAATGGAGATGGCTCCCAACAAACCGTCAGAGAGTGCGGATCCGAGCTTCTTAATAGTGACGACATCAGAGTAGCCGGCGGTGACTGAAGCCTGTTCCGTGAAGACACGGTCCACAGAGTTGAGTGTGATGGCGACGGTGTTAGTGTTGTACGGGGAGGTTGCTTCGACTTCACTGATGAGGGACTGCTCGAAGAAGACCTGGCCGATGTGTGGAATGGTTCCGCCGCTGTAGGTACCGGTGGAGCTGATGGAGCCGCCGATGTGTGCAATGAGATGGAGATGGGTTGCACGTCTGTTTAATGGGTTAGTCAATGACAGCGAATATTGAGCAGTGAGTAGAAGCATACCCTCCGTAGTGACCGGGGAACTTGGTGAGCACCTGAACGATACCATCCTCATCTGATTCAACAAGACCACGGAGTTGAGTCTCTCCCTAAATGGTTTTCTATAGTTAGAGAACTGTTTAGAGAGATGATGAGATTAGAGGAAAACTAACCAAGGTGTTCTCAGCAGAGAAGCCAGAGTAAACACCGGTGGAGTTGCAAGACCAGAAGTCAAGCATGACATTCGGAATCACTTGGCAAGTGCTGACATCAAAGACCTGGACATCAAGGAGCATATCGACACCTGGCTCATCCTCACGGATATCATCTCTGATCAATTCGCCCGACAAGTCTACCTTGTGTTAATATCGATAACAAGAAACAATGTGGGGAGATCCGAGAGTTTGCTTACAGTAGGGGCCAATCTCCTCTTCGGGAGCCAAAACGCAAGTTGGGATAGCGCCATTGAATGGGTCCACGGTGGTCGCTGCAGCAACTGCGGTGGCAGTAGCGGCACGCTTTTGGTTCTGCTTTTGATAGCGTTTGACGAAAGCATCACGCTTGATCTTGCGCCTGTTCTCGATGCTGCGTGCCTTGAGCTTGTTCTGACAGGCCTCGATGGAACGACGGGCGTTAGCAACGTGAACGTTGCGGGCTTCAATGCCAGCTTCGGTTTCAGCTGCGCCATGGCCGAGGGCTACGGAGGCAAGGGCGAGAATGCCAGTGATGAGGATCGATGGGTTGACCATTTTGAGAGAATGAGTGTCCGGGTGTGAGATGTATGAGAGGAGTGAAGCTGAAGATGAAGCTGATGCTGATGCTGATGTTGATTGAGGTTGAGGTGTGGAAAGATGGTCTTTATATACCTATCAAAATGGAGGTATCCTTGAGGCTCTCCTTGCTCCCTTGCTCAACTATTCTTCAGATCACTGCGTTTATCCACCTCTCCAGGAAGCATCAGCCGCCAAAGGATATCTCCACTAGGATTTCATCTAGATTCCCCTGGCTGAGTAAAACACGTAAACTCCAGGTCTATGTCTTCGTTACAAGAAACTTGATGGTTGGTATACATTAAGCTTTACCAAGAAGAGCTAAAGCTTCCAGGGTGCTTCCCTCCAGCTACTACGAACACTGCATATTGAATAGATCCGCCGGGACGAACATTCTGATTATCCGCTGTGGGGGTGGTGCTACTACTTTCTTCGAAATAGAGATTATTGTCCGGTGGTAAGGTCGTTCGGAGATGTCCTATCCCGGTAGATAATGGACACATATGTCAAGCATTTCTTTGAGTATGCACTAACAATGGTCCACTACATGTACATACATATTCTTATTATCAGGCCTTTAATTATGTCTAAACAGCGGTTAGTAAACTATTTTCAGAAGTCCTGGAGCGTAAACATACTATCAACACTGGACGACACCCATTCCCTTACACCAGTCACCCCAGGGAGCGAAACGCAGAACGACTTCGTGCATGTATTCCAACTTCTTTTTGCTCAGATCTTGGTTTCGTCTAGATTGCAAAACGTCTGGCAAATGGCCATCTGTCCAACCAGCTCGCCGTGGTTTTCGGAGAGATGTTGCACTGTGTAGGTGTTGCTCAACTTACTACGGAGCTACAGGGAAAGGCAACATCCGAGAACACGCGGCGCCAAGATATGCTTAAATTTGTTTTATCCCCTGGTAAGCAATATGCAAAGCAAGGTGTAGATCGCAGTCCTTCCCCACAGCCATGTACTGAGTGCCTGTCAGTGACATACAGTTGGCCCTACTCTATGTGTGTACCTGGAGTGACATAAAGACTTTTCGGCTCTGCATCCGCTGCAAATACCCTGCATGCATTTTACCACCACTACCCCAGATTCAAGCATGGCTTTTGAAATCGCTCTTACGCGTCCACACTCTACTCTGTATGAAGAGCCCCAGCAAGCGATAATAGAGAAGAGAAAGGATACATATTCTTCACATGTCATGGCCATGAGGCGAGATTACCTTTGCGTGAAATACTACTGGTTGGTTTAACCACTCTATACGCTCTGCAATACTCGTTGGGGCCGTTTCAGGCACAAGGAATAAGATATATTGATCGCGTTCCGATCGGGAATAATGCAAGGGCCACAAAAGCTTACGCGTCTTGGCCCCATGGCAGGCGCCCATCCAACCACAGCGCTCAATTATTCATCAAAAGAATCCAGACATTTGACTCCTAATCACTTTCGACTCCACGCAGCCTTGGAAGAAAAAAGCTTACTTATCCCTGACGTGAGCAGGGATAAATAGTTGACATCTGGCATGGGCTGGCTGGAGTGAACCCCTAGCTTCCTCGGCCAGACTTGGTCTGCAGCATCACTCGCTCTCTCCCCTATAGTCAAGATATCACACCGTCATAATGCTGCTCTCCTCTAAGCAAATACAATAAACATCATAATCATCACTCTAGGGAATTTCGAAAAATTCGTGCTGAAATCAATTGCTTTGTTATCGATACTACGTACCTAGGACTAGGATATCAATCTACCGGGTAAATATTATTCCTGGACTATATCGATACGGTCAATCGATATGTACCCAGGGTATGGCTATCATATACTCAGCCTTGTTATGCGATCAGCTCACAAACGAATTTAATTCACTAGAATGAAAAAGATCCTGTAATCTATACTTCACGGGAATAAAGGTGGATAGGCGGGCCGGATTATCACCGGAAGGCCATTGTTGGATATGCGAGTGATGGCACATGACGGTGTCCGGCAAATAGTCTTGGCATTCGAGAAGCATTTCATTTATACGAACGCTGCATGTGGGACATAATGTTCTGTGATTACCTGGGATGTACAATGAGAGCGATAGGAATATCGCCAGCCATAATAAATCTAGGAAATACTGGTTGCAATTGTGTTTCACACTATAGTATAGTTAACGAAGACAGATATTATTGTGACACGGAGATTTTGCGTGGCATTGATTTCCCATGGGTGACACACATGGGCAATTAACCTTGATAATGAACTATCGTGATAGCTAGGGGTCAACACACTGGTTTCTCCCCGATTGGTGCTAAGATATCAACAGTTTTGTAGGAACTCCTATCCTTCCCGCCAAGGAAAAGGCGATCTGGTATACAGATATTCAGAAATCATAGAAACCGTGTGTAGAAAACGAATCACCAGTTTACAAGAACCATAATAAATATTAATGAAGTTTTGTCCGTTCTGTATCCATTGTCTGCGCTTTGATTAGAAATGGTGGTGGCAAAGTACACGTACCTCAATTTACTATGACCATGAAGTGCAACGCTGGAAAGGGAAGTATTTCATCTACATAAAATAAGGAGTAGGACATATCGGCCTAACCACCGGCCTAACCGCCGGTTACCAGCAGAATTCAATTGGGTACACCGCGCATGCTCAGCTCCGGCCGAGCGATCGAGATCCATGACCGTCGTGATCGTTCTATCAATCACGGTTTATCACTCTTATTTGCCTCTCAATGTCACTGACCGTACTACCTGGCTTCGGCGGTGAGTATCTATTTCACCGAGAAAGTACCTGATTTTGTTGGTGGATAGCCTTTTTCAGGCCGAGGAGATTTTGTCTAGCAAAATGGTTTAGTGCAGAGACGGGGAACGGAAACTTGAACGCCGCCCTATACAACTGATAGTTGATATATGGTTTTGGAAACCGGGTGAAGGTGTTTGTAGGATATCTAGACCGCACAGTTTGTTGCTGACTTGGATACATATCATTAAACACTTCAATTATGGTTTTTGATGGAGCTTAAATCAAATTTATTGTTACTTGATTATCGCATAACTAATTGGCAGATAAAAAACAGACACAAGTAAGTCTATGTCTGCTGTAAATACCTAGAGTATCAGTCTCCTACCGAACATAAAATGATGGTTTACCTTGTAAGTCCAGTTAATCTTGAGAAAATATTCACTTAACACTATTATCGTTTCCCGGGCGCGCGTAACAGCCTCCCTCGATCTCGGTACTCCTCGAGGATTTCCTGCCATCAAGTCATTTCCCCGCCAAGGCCCCATCTATTATTCCCTGCCAAGGCTTTTATCCGAACCCCATTCCGTCCCCACAATCTACCTGCGTACATACATCCATGAGATTCTCGGACTTCGCCGAGGCTGGTTTACCGAAGAAAGCCGTGGACCTTAGAGTACCGCATTAATTCGTTCGAACGGCCGGTCACACAAGACGTCGAAGTTGCCTTTTCAAGCTAATATGAGAGAAGATTAGGGGCGTATTCAAGACAAATAACCAAATACGGGAATTTCAACGTCTTGTGTGACCGGCCGTTCGAACGAATTAATGCGGTAGACCAGAGTACTTTGTACACTACGGTTTCATCGAAGGTGGGGGAATTGGGGTCCCCAATTAATAGGGTCCTGTTATGGCTAGCCAGTGGAAATGAGGCGCTTGCCCTCTTTGGGAACGGAAAAGTAGCTTTGTGATGGGTTGGTCATTTGCAACAGACTCATACATGCAGGGGGGAGGATGGTAACCGCCCACTCTCCTGCCTGTATTGGAGTCGGCATTACTCTGGCTGTAGGAGAAGAAGAAGGAGGTGGCGAGAGTTGTTTGAGGTGGGTATTTTCTCCTTTAGCGAAGGACGGGACCGAGGTAATGGTGGTTCTCTAGTGTGGTGCGGCTGAGCTTTTTGAGGAGAGAAGGTGAGATAGGTAGTGCTTTCATGCCCGATATTTTCTTTTTACTGGCTTTGGTTACCTTTTCTTAACTTCACCCCTGTTTAGGATATTCTTTCTTCTCTCCTGAAGTTTTCGTCTCTCATCCATCGAAAGCAGAACTATTCCTCTGATGGATTATGCTCAGAATTTTCAATGGTACTATCCACGGTAATAAGGTCATCACGTACTGAATAGTGGTTGCGGCGGCTGTTTTTCAGGTGATCATTGCAACGTGTCGGGGTATACGATGCATATTATTCTGGACGACCCTTTCTTTTTTTTTCTTCTTATAGGGATTGGTTTTGTATATATACAATAATATATAATACTATACTCTAAACCAGTCCAGAGACTCGAGTACGTTTAAGGGTGTGATCGCAAGGCAAGAACAGGAATAATACTCGAATTCAAATGGGGATCACAGAAAATGCGGTACACTGACTAGTTTGCTGGTTTCCACTTAATGAGTGAGCCCATGGTTGGATCGTGTAAGCACAAATCTTTAGATGCGGCCTGGCCAGAAGAAATGTCCGTTCTGGTTGAATATCATTTGATTTAATGAAACCCCTCACTCTCAACGGTAGAAGGTTATTTCCATTGTTTAAGAACGGCCCGAAGCAAGGTTATTTGGGTTTAAAACTTCGTTCTAGTAAACCCCCGTCCCGAGAAAATGAGTTCTTTTTGGCATGCCACTTTGCGCATCTGGGAAACAACAAGTTGATTTCTTAAAAAGAGAGTTCTTAAAAATCAACCACGCTCTGGCCTGGTTTTCCACCGTAGCTTCAGTAATCATAACTCCCAACTCATGGCACTGATAGCCATCAACAACACAGTTGCTATAAGATTCCACAAATTTCTCTCAAGTCTGTTACTCCTAAACGGCATATGATTTTGAAGCACCTATTAAAATTCCTTCGTTCTCCCCCACTAACTGAATCCGAGCAAAATATTATCAATCAGTCAATCTCCATGAGAAAGAAAGGTATTTAGAATTGATTATAGAAATTTTCCTTTTATTTCCGGAGGGCGATACTTGACAATTACCGTTTAGTGGCTTTGAAGAAAGGATCTGCATGGTTCAAGATCTCATATTCTACCACAATATCCTCCGTATTTGGGGAAGTATCTTCTTCAAGTAGGTATGTAGTAGGGTTCCTTTTTACCCCCGCCCTCTCGGCGACCTGAAGTGCTGGCAGGGTCGACGATGAGTCTCCTTGTGGTAGGTTGGCGGCTGGCCTTGTTGTCCCCGAGACTTCGTCTTCTATCCATGTTGTTCCAGCACCTAGGGATAACTTTTCTTGTGGCCTGCAGGCAGCATAATATGCTTGCACCGGGGCCCTAACTTTCGCCTGTTGAGCTATAAGCCTCGATGATAACTCTTCTTTTGATGCCCTGAGAGATGGGTGTGCATCATCCAAAATCTCATCTTCCACAACGAGAGTTTCCATGTCCAGACATGAGCCTTCCTGTGGTAAAACCGGAACAGTACCAATATCTCCTATGATACCCTCCGACTGAGTATTTGCAGAAACCGAGGATGACTCTTCTTGAGGCACCCTGGAAATAGGATCCACAACTCTCAAGATCTCCTTCCATCCTGTGGTATTTTTCAATCTTGAGTTCATGTTCCCCCCCATCGATTGTGCAGCCAAGTTCTCACTGTTCAAGATATCTGCTTTTTTTGTAGGAGCTTGTGCAAGCTTCGAAACCGGTATTGCTGCTGTGTGTGGAGCGTTTGAACTTGGAACGACTGGGATGTTTCCTCTGTTTACACAAGCTACAAGAGATGGGAGTGAACAAGGTCCCAAGGACGGAAGAACTGCAGCGGCTGAGGTGGTTTTTGCCCCCAGTAAAGTTGTAGAGTTTCCAGAATCCTCTTTCGTAGCTAGTCTCATCCGAGCCAACTCTTGAAGAAAGTGTTGATCTACCAAGAGGGCTTCCGCAGCTTTGCGACCTGCAGACCTGTTCTCAAACCGTGGTTAGCATATCACTTGAGAAATATTTAGTTGGAGAAATGTACTCTTCGCTTATCTCCCATGCATGCCCTACAATCGTCTGACGTCTCCGCCACAGTAGTATAACCTGTATATGTACGTCTGTATCTCTACGTTCCGCCGCATGCCGATCTTCAAGACGTGAATAAATTAACTTGCCCTCAATTTCATTCACGAGCCTGTCAAGTGCTTTCTTTGCGGAGAAAGGTAGAGGGGCTGCCTTGATATTATTAACCACAATCTGCTCAAGGGCCTTGAGTTCTTTAACGACTTTACTCTCCCTTCCTTCACGATTTTCACCTTCCGAATCCAAGATAATGATGGGATTGGCTTTATCCTGCCCCAGACGTATATTGCCGGATTGGTGTGGTAGCGGTTGTAACGGCGGACTCCCGTAATCAAGCTCAATGGTTTCCTTTACGGCTTGTTGGGCAACTCTGCACCTCAATTGAAATACCCGTTGTTTCCCCTCTGCTTTTTTTGCATTACTTAAAGCCGCCATACTTTGCTTTTTCTCCATCTCTTCCGACTCTGCCCCAGCCAAAGCCAAAGCCACGGCTTTGCGTTGGGCAGTCTTTGCAGCAATTTCTATCATTTCTTTGTCAGTCTTCTTAGACCTTGCCTTGGCTAAAACCATAGCGTCGGCTTTGAGCTGGACAATCGTTATAGCATTTTCTACTTCTCTCTCGTTTTTCTCGGACTTTGCTTTAGCTGATACCTCCCTTTCGAGCCGGGAAGCCTTCTCAGTGTTTTCCGCCTTCTCTGTTTCGATCTTCTCTGATTCGAATTTAACTAAGGCCTCGGGCACGAGCTGGGCTATCTTCGCTTCTGCCTGTTCCCTTTCGGTCTTCCCTGATCGTTCTTTAGCTAAGGCCTCTAATTCGAGCTGAGCAGCTTCGACAGCATTTTTTTCCTTCTTTTTCCCCTCCCCCTTCTCGTGTCGCGCCCTCTCTTGAGTGAAGAACCCAGATTTAGTCTGGCCAGTCTTCGTAACCTGAGCAGCCTCTTCAACCGTTTCTCGCTCGATCTTCCCTGATTGTTCTTTAGCTAAAGCTAATGTCAAGGCCTCGGATTTGAGGGGCGCAGCCTGAGCAGCCTCTTCTACCCTTTCCCGCTCGATCATCTCGTAGTATACCATTTTAGCTTGAGTGGAAGCCCTGAATCCGATCTCGGCAGCCATTATAGCTTGTTTGGCTTCTTTCTCTGGTTGACGTCGAATATTGCCGGCTGAAAATTGGGTATTCGGCCTAAACTTCAAGTAATTCTGAAGCTTCTCTGATAAGTAGGCGTTGGTCCCGTCTTTCCATACCTCATCTTCCATTGATAACAAGATGGGCTGGTACAGCTTCTCCAGCCAACTCGTCATCACCTCGAAACCACCATGTGGATTGGAAAACGCCACTGTTGCGACATATGCCCTGAATATATCTGCCATCTCTTTGGTGCCTGGGGTATTTCTGATTTCATTCTGTATCTTAAACTCTTCCATTAGTCCATACCTAACCGCAAAGTTTGCGAAAGCTTTATCGGTGAGCAGACAATGGCGAAGTCTCCCCAACTGGACTTCTTCAAGGTTTTTATTTCGGAAGATTATTCTTGACATTAAAAGGTGAATCCAAGAGCCACCAAGCCAGCTGAGACGTTTATGATCGGGGGAAGGCCCTTGGGTGTTCTTGGTGCAAAACACTTGGGTGCAGAGGTTTCTGTCCGTGATGGATGGGAGAAGGGGGGGCCATTCAATTTGTGAAGAACCGTCATGGGTGGAGACACTAGATGTCTCGTCGTCCTCCTCAGCCCAATTCTCAGATGGACCTTCCTCGCCCTCTTCAGACAGGGATCCGTTGCGACCTCTGATTTCAGCTTGAAGTTGCACCATCAACTTGACTTTTTTGCGCACTTCCTGTCCTTCTCTTTCGTCATCGCCTAAAAATCTGTACTTCTTTCCATCATCAAATTTACCGACCCAGCTGAATCCCCCGCCATCCACCCTGGTCTTGAGGACCCGAAGAAAGGCTTCTTTCTCTCCTCCAATACACCTTTGGGTATTTGGTACCCCAGACGCTGTGCTAAGAAGCTTACACAGTGCTTTACCAAACTTGTCGAATGCAAGGAGTAGATTCTTCTCATCCTTAGTAGTGTGATCTGAAGGCCCAAGGTCGTGAGAGTCAGAGCGAGGTCGTTTCTTAGACTGCCCAATGTTGGATTTCATATTCTGGAGTTCTCGTCGGGAGGTGATTACCGTGTTGCTGTTAGAAGCGGTTGAGTTGTGGGGTGTCGTAACGCAGTGGAGTGGCCCACCAATTCCATGACCGACCTTGAGTGACACTGGGGTAGAGAGCTCCTTCATGTACAAAGGCCCCGATTAAATCCTACGGACCCTTAAGTATACAGCTATTATTTTCTTGAAGAAGTTAATATATAAACGCAATAAAAAATTGAAAACTTTGAAATAGAACGAAAATTTGTTTTTCCGCGAAATGAGTCATAAGGTATCACTCGCTATAGATTTATCTCCAAATCACCTGTTTATGTTATGTACAGCCGCATTCGAAAAGTACTGGCACCCTACTACATTGAGTCGTTCATGGATTGTAGCCCACCAAAATCCATGGCACTCGCGCATACTCAACTTATTGATAGGTATGACCGCAATAGAGACATGGCAGCTCTCTCTGGCAATTGTCTTGAATATGGGGGTTGAAAAGCAGAAAGGACTGCCTCGTGAGTTTGGCTCGAAGGTGCCAATACTTTTCAAATGCGGCTGTACACAAGGCTTCCGATATGGGTCTGGGAACTGTTTTTTATATCTGAAGGTGACTATAGTGGGTGTTTTTGGATACATTCCAATCCGTTATGCCAAGCGCTATATGGCCACGCATAGATGTGTCTCTACATGTTGTGTTGTGCGTGAGATAGGTATACGTATACATATAACTCGGGGATATTTGTATTTTATCGAAGGTACTATTGGCTAGATGAAACACATCCGCGTTCTGCCTACACAGCTAGCGGCTGTGGGGCCATCATTGGTTTCAGGAATTATAGGTGAAGATCTTTTTTGTTTTAACCCTGTCCCGCTCCTAAAGAACCTGACTTTTATTCCTAATTTTCCCACCTATTCGTGTGCGCTCTTTAAACTTTCTCTGCTCTCACACTCATAGTCCCAGTTACTTGAGAATAATTGTATTGTTTGAGAGTATTTATGCCTTCATTACCTCTAGCAGCTAAGATCCTTGGGGTAGCTCTGCATAAATAGTTTCGTTCCCCCTTTAGTTGGAATTGTCTTTCTATTTTATTTGCAAATGTTGACATTATTCTTCCCGTATTTTTAAAGGACATTCTGCATGAACTGCCCCTCAACTAAACTTGATACGGGGACATAGATCCAAGCGAAGCCATTACTAAAATTCGGCATTCTCTCCATTGCAGTCACCCCAAGAAAGCCCCTCTCCCCTCCCTTCTTCTTCCTCCTCTCCTTCCTCTTCTTCTTCACACCAAATATTCGACACCTCTCTCTTTATAGATCGTAGGCGCAATTGAGCGATCTCTGGAATATCAGGGATTCTCGAACCGGCTGAGGCTGTATTTTGAGATACCCTTTTACGACCTTTGAAAATGATGAGTCAATTGCCGGCCAGCATGTGCACCTGATTTGTGGGTTAATCCTACTTACCGAACATAATTCCATGATGGTCTAATCCCTGATCCACGTGCGGTATATGTGACACCCTCCTCCGCAAAGTGTCCAGGTCGCACAGGTAGTGATAATCCTTCTCAGCAACATAGTTATATTTTTGTCCGGTCTCCTCCTTCACATCCTCATCAGCGCCATACGTCATGATCAGGAGGTCAACCATGTCCAGAAGTCCGTGCCTGAACGCCACAAATAAGGCTGTCTGTCCTCTAGAATCCCTCACGTTCACATCCCCTTTCCTAGTTGCTAACAGCGTGTCGATAACGCCCAGATGCTTGTACTCAACTGCAAAATGTAGGAGTGGCACATCCTCCATGAAATACTCTTCCTTCGATGTCAGAGCTGCCTCTAGGTTTTGATTGAGAACCTTCATCGAATCACCTAGTTGTCGACTGTTCTTCTTCTTGAGCTCTGATTTCCAGCGAGAAATAGCATAGTGTAGCGGTTTAGCGTTATGGTCATCAATGGCGTTGACATTAGCACCAGCATTCAGGAGTAGTTTAGTGAGAGCAGGACTACATTTGGAATTTCCGAGATGGAGAGGCGTACGGTTAAACCAGTCTCGTTGATTAATACCAACACCCTCGTGACCCATGGCCATGAATATAAGGCGCGTATTTTTGCTTTCAATTGCCCAGTGCAGTACACGGCACCACTTTTCACCCCGATTACAGTTGAGTGCCAGGCGTCCTCCCTCATCGATGATATACTTTAACCCTCCTTCGGCGATGCTAGTGCCGGAACATGGCACTAACATACTCGGTCTATTGGTGGGGAAGTCTTCGAAGTAGCAAAAATCGACAGCAGGCGAACAGCCTTCAAGCACCATCTTTTCGTCACTGGCGAGGGCGCCGACAAAGATTTTTTCCATGCTGGAACATATTCGGGCTACATCTACCGCACGAGACCCGACAGTGTGCGATTCCAGAAATAACTGATATTCCAATAAGTTGGGCTTCGCTGGGAGGAAGTTTGTTGTGAGAGAGCGTCTTTTCCTGGCTGCAATCATTGTTGGAAGACCTTTGAGGTGGGTGTGGAAGTAGCGGATACTGATGCAAAAGGGCTTTGTTGCTCGTAAAGATGTTTGAACAGTGAAGATGGTTGTTTGGGGTTCGAACGTTGATTGATGTGTGGTGTGGTGTGTGTTGAAGAAGATGTTAGGAAGGTGCATATGTACCGCCGGCGGTTCTAAGAAAATTACGGCCCAGACGCTTAACGAGGATTTGATGTAACAGGATACTGCTCGGGTCTTTTTTTTTTTTTTAATTGCATTACCACTCGGGTCTGTTAATTAAAGTTTTAGTATTTCCCCTCAGTATCCCTGGAAACAAGTTTTCTACATGTATGTTATTTTTTTTTTTTGGTTTAATTCATTAATTGCATGCAACTTTACACATGTATGTTATTAAACCAGTAAAGGAAAACTACTTTCCCCAGTTTAATAAATAAATGGTTTGACAGCGAGAAGGGCTTCCCCAGGATTAGTGGGGCGTGGAGCCTATTATATGTGCGAGTGATATTCTGTGATTTAGATGACATTAACCTAGGTCTACCTAAACATTTATCCAGGAGGCTGTAACTCAATTAATTTGGAGTATCTAATGAGAGCGGAAACAATCCATACAACCTATTATTGATAACAAGACATGCGGGCAGCTAGTCACTCACTGTGGGTGCAACACCGGTACGTTGAGTGTAGAAAAATGGAAAGCTTCCGTGCTTGGGCAACGACTAATTGTTTCCATGAAATTTACCTACACACATATATGCGGTATATCATGTCTTTATATAGCTCGAGTCCAAAAAACCATCGTACGTACTAGAATGTGCATGCGATCTCTGCTCACAACAAAATTATAGCTACACTACATGTACCCAATTTGAACGGTATACGATGCGTTTAGAAATTATTCGAGGAGGTAATTGTGGCTCTTAGGTTCAGTGTAAATTTAATATCTTGGTTGCAAAATGCCAAGATCTTAAACACGTTCGTGATTTTGAGAAGATCTTCGGGATTCCACCAACAACAATTGGCTTCGGCCATAAGCTACTTGAATCTCACCTTGCAGAAGAAATATTGAATGTTTTCGTTCTGTTACTTGTTTCTATTGGAAATCAGTCCTGCTACGTGATCTTGATAAAAAATTTAAAGTTGAGATTAAGACTGAAAAAGTTTCAAGCTTTTTCAAGTATCCATCCTAGAGTTCGAAAAAATTCAAAGCATGTACCAACGCCCAGCTACATATATAGCCATTCGTCCTCTTGCCCTTCATCCCCTATAACATCTACCACTCACCCAATTTACCTTGCTCCAGCAACCCTCACATTCCAACTCAATTAACCAAACTCAAATGGCAGACCAGACTCCAACCCCACCGCAACCGACCACTCCAATTACAACTCCTGCGCGCCGTACCCCTTCGGATGTCTGGCGTGAGATTGAGGATGGGTACATCAACCCTCCACCACTCTCTCCACGTCGTCAACGCTTGCAAGAACAGATTCCCGGTTCAGATACACCGCCTGGGTTTCCCGGTACATCCGGTCACCACCAATTGGGCCCAAAAGAACGGCACTTGGAGAGTCCAGACGCCCAAGCCAATTCTCCTCCCCGTACACCGCCATCACAGCGACCTTCTCATGAAGAGGAAGAAGCACCAAAACAGTACCCTCAAAGAAGTCCGAGCTCCATTTGGCGCGGCATCCGCTCCGGCTATGGCCCCGACTATAACTCCAATGCCTCTTCTTCTCCTCCGGAGGACACTGATGATATTACACCTAAGGGAAACAGCAAAGGATCAGCGCCTTCAAGCAACCAGAAACGTTCATTAGTACCTGATACCCACGATTCTCATCCTCAGCCTACCTGTCCTATTCAACCCAAGTATTATCAGAGTGTTTTCCGAGAACATTTCGATGGGTTCCCACCAGCTCAAGCCAAAAAGTCTCCTAGACGGGGACTGATTACTGGTGGTGGTGCTGGCGGTCGGAGAGATGTATACTACGATGACACGTTGGGCGAGTGGAGAGCCATTCCCCCAATTCATGTCGATACTGATTCGGAGTCGGAGAAGAGTTCTGAGAAGGGAGAGGAGGAGGAGGGCGTTGGAGGGGTGTGTGGAAGGCGGAAAAAGACAGAAAACAAATTGAAGAAAGCAGTGAACTGTGTTGTCGACGCCTTGACCAAGGGAAGGGAGAATAAGGATGATGAACCAGATAAGAGCGACAGGTTGGATGGACCGATCGAGGAGCCAATCTTTGAATTCGAGAGCATCTATTAGAAGCTCCGACAGCGCAACGAAAGGAGTCCCAGGACTAGGAATTCGAACACTCTTGATCCCAACCAAAACTCAGCTTTCAAGCCGTGATAGGAAACACTTTGTAGGTCTAGGGCGTTAGAATTTTAGAACTAGAGGGACAGTACGAGAAATCAAATCATCCGCCAGTTATGAATCAAAATCTCCAAGAATAAAACATGGTTCACACACTATTCAAGGATCAATCAAATGTGAAACCAAAATAGACTCATAGGGTTGAATGATACATACCGTTTAGATCTGAGAAAGTACATGTAGCTACGAATTGGCAGCCCCGGTCCCTCGGTATTGGATAAATGTAAACAGCTAGATAAACAGGATTTTGGACCGACGCGACCAAGCCCCCCCACCTCACGCGCACCTAGCTTTCTTCTTCATCAAACCCTCAAATTCTCGTCCAAGACAATGCGTAACAACATCTCTTCTCTTTGCTTTGCCTGCCGAACATTGATGATAGCTACATGTATTATCAGAGTCATCGAATTGAGGACAAACTTACTATTGCAGCTTTCAGTCAAACTATGTGAGTACTTGTTACAGTATCAACGTTTTCTCGTATGCATCCATCTCAAAAGGGTTTAGTAAAAAAGGCTATTCTTTATTGATAAGGATTCAAAACCATGATGGCGAGGTATATATCATATATCCTATTTGCTTTTACCACGGCGTAGTATGAACCCTCATGTATTTACTAATGACTTCCACTTAGGGATTTACATAGATAATATAGTGACATGACTACGTTACAGCCAGTTAAGATCTTATTTCCATTTCGTCAACCATACTCATGCTTCAATACGATGTTAGCAACCATGAAAGTACCGGTACGTACTGTATCTGTTAGTCGACTACATTTAATAAATCAAGGATAACTCAGGTGTTCGATCACGGTACACAACTTCCTCAGGCCTCATAATATATCGAGAGCCAGTGAATCTTACTCTTATATCATCATAACGACTCCTCTTATCATACCAATAATCACGCAAACCAGAATATATTAGAAAGAGGATGAAGCCGAAACAGCTGTGCTGTTTTGCAGGAGGTTTCTCAATGATATTTCCTTATAATGCACATATATATGGGTGTCGTTCTAGGAAAACCGTCCGCACATGCCAAATAATTATTCCGGAGAACCACACAACCGATAAACTCCAAATTTTTCTAAAGCTCAGAGAACCTTGGTGAGAGCCCAGAATTAATTTTTCGGTCATTGGTTCCATCAATTGGAGCCTGTAGAGTGCGGTAGCGAACCGGTGAGGCCTTGTTGCGTTGCCACATAGGCGCCTTTTCCTAGAACGACACCTATATATATATGCACATGAATTGAATTCGTCAATACTTCAAGTCCCAGCTCCGGCTAGAGATGCTTAAATTATGCAGCTGTTACTAAATAGAATTTATCTAACATCCGATCAGTCGTCAAGGCTTCACCTATATTATCTTGCTTCTAGGTGACCGAGGCAGCTGGGCTAAGATGTAGTATACTTCTTAAACTAAGTACGCTCATTGGAGCAAGGGTGACTCGAATAACCGGCTATCCGTCCGCTTAGTCACCAATACTGTGGGTATGTAGGTACAGCTGATGATCGCGATAAAAGATGTCTGAGCCTTAGCACAACCAAACTACACTAGTGGCGCCTCTCTCTGAATAAATCGAAAATTTAATACCGAAGCGAGCTTACTCACAACCGAAATTAATCCAGGTTTATTGAGGCTCCCTTCAAGTATACTTACCCACACAAATATTGAAATCTGATAGGCCTGCAAAATATCAGCAGAAACTTAAAACTCGACGGTCATTGAGCACATGCCATTAGGCATCACAGCTTTGCGTTCGCTGTGGAAGTTTCAACATTTCCGAGCCACTGTACGGGACCACGACATCGGTACACGAATCAACGAATATGTTACAGGAACCTACCATTGGGGCAAAGAAACAGCATCTCCCAAAGGGCCTGGTCCCACGGCGTTGGTACCACAGTTATTGGACCGATTCCCCAGAAAACCTGGAGGTGTAACATCGATTCTAGATTGCCCATCCGACTCGTTTGATAGGTTGAAAACGTTAAAAGACTACGATAATACGATTGTCAGGCACAACAGTGATTCTCAAAACCATAAAATCTAGATCTGAGTTATCTACCCGATTGGTAATCGGGTAGAATGTCACTAATTGGACGTTTTGGTAATATATCCTAATAGAGTATATATATATATATATATTGTTTAAAACTGCCAATCCAATCTAAGCAGATCCAACTGTGATAATCTTTCGATTAAAATGCTAATTCAGACTAATAACATTATTAATGCAAGTATTATTCCCTTAAGAATTAGTAGCTACTTAGTGTGCATTTATTTCCTAATTTAAGTTAAATTGATACGCAGATACGTCTATTCGAAGTCAACTGGCCTCATTTGTTGGGGTGTTGACCAAATCCTAGTGAAGATTACTGTAATCTCGTGCCTACCAGCACCTCTTTGTCCCTTATGGTTCTGAGAATCACTGCTGTGCCTGATAATCATATTATCATTGTGTTTTTAACCTGCGAACGAGCTAAAGAGTTCATAGATAGCAATCAATTTTTAGGTTCGGCGATCATACCCACAGTCTCTTCATATGCCTCTTGTGATTGGGTGTTTAACGCCGGAGATCTCGGAGATAGAGCAGCCAGAGTCGAAGAAATCCAAGGTTCCGAGACATCGGTAAAGAGCTAACCTCGGGAACTTTTGGTTCTTAGAGATGTGTCACAAACGTTAAAAGATAAGCACAATCCTCGGAGCTTGCACAAAATTATCCTTTCGAAACCTACATCACTAGAGCCCCGTAGTTATGAAACAAATGGCGGCACTCATCTGACTCACTTGATCTCGTCAAGTCTGCTTCAGAGAAGAAATGTCTAACACTGTAGGAGATGAGTCATGAGAACTCGGAGATTTCACATCTCTCTCGATGATCTCCCTAGAACGAAGATGAACTCTTGAGGCTAGTTTGGTTACATATTGCTCGAGGATAAGATAGATTTTCTCATGAAAATGATACATGTAGGTAGTCTCGTGCCCAGCCTGTGGTGTGATTCTCCTACATGTACAATAGGTACTGAAATAATACTCGTGACTGTTCTCTGTAAACACCTATCGCAGCTGTCTTTCAAAAACCGTAGACGATTTGTTATCTTGACTATGTCCTAATACGGCTTAGCTTACTATTGAGTCAACCTCAGAAGCGATACTCTAATAAGACTTGGAGAGGGTGAGAATGGGTGTGGGTGTGAATTTAACTACAAGACTCTCCAGGCTGATATTACTAGTACATACAAAGGAAACCCTCTGGAGGTGCACCTACAATTGCGGGCGTATCTCAAAACTCTATTCTTTGAATGCTTCACATAACAAATTGAATTGTCATCGATAAATAATACACGTAGCCTTTGACCTAAGCAAATATCATTCCTATGATCAGTTTGCATGGTTACACCACACTAGAATACAAATTCCCCCGCCCTGCTTCGGTGACGTCGGCACGCTATTCTCAAATATTGGCACTCCCCCGCAATCATCAACCCAACCTTCACTGTCATCGTCACCGTACCAGGTATTTATATAATGGCCTCGAGCTCGAAGTCCACCTTGACCATTGGAACGCCCATCAGGGCGACTGCCGACTTCTGCCTTCTCCCGGTGAGTGACTCGGCCCCGGCCCTCATTTGAGATAAATCTGACATAGAAGCTACAGCTCGGAACTTCCAGCGCGTCAGTTTCCAGACAGATTGCCGACGTTCAACTGCTTATGCAAAAGAGCGGGCTGAATTACAGTATGCATAGTGCTGGGACCACCGTTGGTATGCTCACTCTACGAATATTTGAGACTGCAGATACAGCTCTGTTAACGAATATGTAACAGAGGGTACCTGGGACGAAGTCACGGGGGTGATTGGGCAAGCCCATTCGATGCTGCATGAGCAAGGCATCGTCAGAGTCCATACGGATATTCGTATTGGGAGTAGGTAAGCAAGCATTATCACCCCATACCATATTACTTCCCACATTATTAATGAACCGGTTGAGTACAGAACGGATAAAACAGAGAATTTCAGGGACAAAGTGACAGCTGTGGAGAACCATCTTGCGAAAGATGCCGAAGCTGCTCAATGAAAATGTCAAGAGTGAGGCATGTAATACAGCTGAGATATATACTTACATACCCACTCGACCATGTACGTACCCGGAGCTAGATATTGCATGATTACATACGTACAGAATATCTTTGGAATCTTCGGTCGTTCCTTGAAAACACTGGAAAGAAAACGAGCGCGATTGTGAAGACTTAAAAAATGCTCAAAGCTGGTCGCATTGTCTCCTCCTCCACACCCGCGGTCACAAGGAGAAAACGCCGAAGATTGGAATTTTCCCCCAACGTCATGAATGTTCAATGCATATTTGTTTTACGCGAGAATTGGGATACTATAATAAACTGTAGCTGTGAATTCCCTTCCTCGAACATTTCTGAGAGAATGAAAGGGAAGGATAAAATTCGAAACTTGACTAAGATGTGCAGTACTGCAGCGGGAAAATACGATAGAAAGAACAACTATGTGACGCGCACTTATTGCGTCGTCGTCCTTCAATTGCCGAATGTCTTTTCTCTTTCCCTTCCCCTCTATTGTTTTTGTATACTATTGGGTGAGGGGTGAATAATATTGTGATAAACCAAATGGTCAAGCCAAAGAAAAAGCAAGAAACAGGCGGGCAAGCAGATCAAATTCATGCCGCAGATCAGAGACGAGACAGACAGAAACGCTTTTTGAGGTTCTACAACACAAGAAAAGCCCCGTGTGGATAAGGCTACCCTATCTACTGCACCCCTACATCCCTCCTCCTTCTCCACCTCCAAAAGCAAAGGTTTACATATAACGGTTCCCCCAATGGCATGGGGGCTGCAGGGATCACAAATTTACCTAGACCGCCAATCGAAACCTGTGCGGGTGGGTATGCTAGGTGATACGCGCAAATCCTGTGGTATAAATAAGGGTGGTTGGAGAACCTGGCCTGACCGACGAGGCGAACATACTTTCCTTGCTTGAACTTCTTTGGCTGGCTGAATAAAAGGTCGACACGATCTACCATCTGTGCTCTGACCACCTGATACACCTGCCCGTTAAATTGCTGCCTCCCGGCGAATATTCTATCCTACCTACTTATCTCCCCTCCATTCCATCCACGACAACCTACAACTAACAACCTACCTTCCTTCTCTCCCCCGCCACCAACCGAAACAAGACTCTGTGTACTTGAATAAAAACTCGTCACCATCACACACTGACCACCATCACCACAATAATAATTCATAAGGTTAGCGATATCCCATCTTTTTTGAAATTCCATGAGCTGACGTAAATCCTAGATACAACCTTTTCAGAGGAGAAAGGGCAGCCGCAAGATAGCGTGAAATTCTGCACCTCTTATAAACTGGTGAGCTCTCAAACCAGAAAGACCGAGAAAGAGAAAAGAAAAAAGTCTTCCACAAATGATCTTGCCCCGAAATAGATTGCGGGTCTTACCGCTTCACAAACAAATAAAAAGAACAAGAAGGAAAGCTGAATCTTTGCCAGCTTCTCAGCACCGGGTGAAAAAATCCCCACAGGAAAAAAAATCAGGAGCAAAAAAAACTTGCTCGGAAACGAGAGGAGTAAACAAGAGAAGACAGAAAAACGACACAACACAAACATGGCTTCAGGCCGACGACTACGCACCCGCACTAGTAGCGGAGTACCAACATCACAGCAGCAACAACTTTCAGACTGCGGCCACGACCGGTCTCAGCTCGACCTCAGCGGTGATCGCGATCTTCCCTGCAAGGTCTGCTGGTCCAACCGCGAGATTCTCATTCAGCGGCTCATCGAGCCCTTTGAGAACGCGCTGGAAACTCTTCAAGACGAGGGAGCCAGCGGCTCGGCAAACAGCACCCCTGAACGTGGGGTGGTGGTATCATCGGGAGATGCTCCTGCTGGTGGCAGGTCCCGAAGTTTGAGGCGGAGAGCGGGGAAAAAAAGGACAAGAAGTGCTTCCCCGGCGGCGGCGACAACACCGATGGGAATTGATGGGGAGGATTTGAATTTGTTGGGTTCCGGGGGTCCGGGTGCTGTTAGGCCGGATGAGGAAGATTGCATTCACGTGCAGGATATCAGCGTCGTAACAGTGCAGAGGCCCCAAAAGAAACGGAGTAAATCTCCTCCCGATGAAAACAAGAGCGTGAAGATCGCAGCTTTAGAGCCACAGAAAGCGAGTACAAACATCATCCCGCCAACAAAGGGGAGAAATATGACAGCAACAACCGAAAAACTGCAAGAAAACCCTTCACCGCCTGTAGATTATGCAACAACGAAATTGCCGAAAGTGACAGAGAAAGCACCACCCACCCCCCCAACACTGGCCGCAAAACTACCGAAACAGAAACAACAGAGAACTTCACAGGTTCACCCGCCGAAAAAGGGCCAGCAAACCCTGTTTTCGTTTTTCTCTAAATCTGCCGAAGGCGCAGCGGTAAAAACTGAAGAGACAATTGCGAAGCCAGTGACTATTTTTAGTGCAGGAGGGAATAGTAGCGGCCCGAGAAAGAGGGACGTGGGAACTCCAAGGGCGAATGAAGAAATCGTTGTTCGGACAAGCACAAAGGTGGCATCACCACCGCCCCCACCAGCACCACCGGGAAGAGCAGGGACTAGGAAGAGCGCCCGAGATATAACAGTAAAGTCTCGAGAGACCATCAATTACAGGGAGGATTCGGATTCAGATATCGATCTCGATTAATGAAGATATTGATTTGACAAAAAATGGGGTACGAGTGCGCGTAGGTATGTCGGGAGCTCTCGTCACATTTGTCGATCTCTTAACCAAGGATGATTGCTGAGTTTTTGTCTCCAAGTTTGGGGAAATCATATAGATGCAGAACCACTCTCTTTAAAATTTCGATGATCAATGAGAATTCAAAAGTAGCGGCGTTTTTTTTTTTTTTTTTTTTTAGGGGGGGCGGGGAGAAAAGGGGAGGTTGATGTCCATTATATCTGTGGAGTTCTTTTAATTTCTTGGGGCGGAATATGGTAAACTTTCTATGTTTCATCAAAAATCCATTTTACTTTGCTGCGCGGGGGGCTAGACTGACTTCAGGTGCTTAGGTGCTGAAAATTCCCCTTACTCACAGGGTCTTTTCTTATTTTCGTAGACATACACTCTCTTAGAATCCATTTCATGAATCTTGGGTGGGTGGGAAACGAAGGCGTTGGTAACGCAAGATTCCGTGTAAGTAGCACAGCAGGCGCTACAAAGGAGAATCAATAAGCTTACTGCACTCAATTTCCTTTCTAGCGACCTATTCGAATCTCCATAATTTTCAGTGGTGAGTTTGTAGAGGTAAACATAAAGTGCATATCATATCATGCCATACCAGTATTTGAGTACTACAGCTCGTAGATTTCGTAATTCTTTCCCGTAGCGAGGGCTTTCGACCTTGTAGTTGTAAACTTCTTATTCTCTTGCTTCCCGCACTGTAGACAACTCGCTTCTTACACCAGACGTCAGAAGTTAGCATTAGCCCTAAAGTTATCTAAGCTTAGAACCCACCTATATCTCAATTTCCTCAGGGACACGGTAGAGAACAGTACTTACCTCAACTCCGCGAGCCTTTTGCCGTACCCCCTCCCACCCATGACGTGACCACTCAGGATCGGTATGTAAACCCTCCCCGCACGTATCTTCCCCCTCAAACCCTTCAAACTTCATCACCCTGGGAAGAAAGAATAACTGCAGAATAGACCATTCCACTAAACAAAATATTACACCGAGATGTCAGCAATTGGAGGTGCTGCTGGTAAAGAAGGTCTCCGAAGAGGTGCCAGGCGAGACCCAGAGCTATATGTAATACATTCCCTCTCTCCCCCTAAGATATAAACCTCAAGAAGTGGCATACGATAGTGATATTAATGATAACGAAAGGTTTTATTCGCTCTCATGTGTGGAGCCTTTGCGCTGGCTGGGTACAACTTTTGTAAGTTGCCTTCGTACCCATGCCTAGCTCTAAGGCAAGATAGCTAATCCAGCAACCCTACCACAGCAAGAAACCCAACCATGTCCAGCTCGCAAGAGCCTCGTATCAATATGGTACCTGACTCTGCTCCCTGGAAAGATGACGGCCTCGAGAATTCAGACAAAAACAACTATAAGTGCGGTCTCCCCAATCACCTTGAACAACGCACAGAGCGAGCCCGTGACGCCCGCTGCACAGGAAAGACTAACGACATTGCGCACGTGCATTATAATATAGATACAAGTATCATCCAAACGCGGACTACAGAAAAGCGCCAAAGAACGCCCCGAGTGCGCTACATTCAGTCATTTTACCGAATGTGACTTTGTCGAAGGTTTGTGCCAACTCTTGCTCTGGTTGAAGTGGGGGCGGTTGAGGCCACTGAACTGTGGAATAAAGCCATGGATCTGACATTTGAGGAATAGAGGTTGCATGAGAAGTACAACAAGTACGGGAAGGATAACTACTAGTTTGGACTATAGACTCTTTTGTTTTGTGCAATGAAGATGGATATGGGTCCCTAGAGTTGTAGCTACATGTGTATTGCACAATTGCATGTGTTCAGGAAGACTTGGCGCTAGAGCACGGATACCGATAGTCTGGAACCCTAACCCTGACTAACCTCATGCCAAGTCTGAAGGTCAGCGGATCTATTTGAATCTGTACGAGATAAACGAATTCAATCCCGGAAACATGACCATGATAGTGGCATGAACGGGCGAATAAATACCTCGATCCCTTAATCACCCCGCCTCTATGTTCTCTACAGTGCTCGTAAGTACTAGGAAGATCATTAAATTTAAGAGATTTCAGATCATTGCATGTAATCTCCTTTTGGATATTGCAATATAGTAATACTTACGTAATTAATGGTTTCTACTTTTTATCCTAGTAATGTTCGCATAGAACTAAAGTTGGTCGAGGTAAAATGGGATAAAATATCGATGCTAACCCACCATGAAAATAGCACAATGGTAATTGTATTAATCAATTCATTTCTTAATATGTATATGAATTACCGGGTAAGACCCCTAGCAAAAAAATTCGAATGATAATGGGCTCGTTTGCTCCTCACTGTTTTTTCTTTTTTTTTTTTCTTTTTTTTCTTCTTCCTTTCTCTCTCTTCTGAAAAACCCACACAAGAGTATGTATCTGTGTGACAAATGGCACGCTGGAGGACATATGAGCCTGTGAACTATATAAGTACATGATCAGCATAATAAAACCCCACTCCAGCATATACAAACAACCACGCGTCTCATTGTGTATGCTATAAGTATAAGGCCCATCTTCCTTTCACCCCTTTAAATTTTATCATGACGACAATACATGTACGTTGATCGCTGCCATCTCCAAAGCAAGGTAAGTAAAATGTATCGAGGCATGAGACCACACTCTGTATTCATATTTCAAGTAACGAGCCTTTTTCTCTTTCCTTTCTTTTCTTCTTTCTTTATTTCTGAGTACTCACTCCATCATAATTTTTAAAGTCCTCCCTCTAATTTCCAGTCAGCTGACGAAGTTTGAAAAACAGACTTCGATCTATCAAAGATTATCAAAGTCGATACTATTGAATATCTCAGCTCAAAAACCTTGGCTAGATGTTACTCTCAGTAACAGAAAGCTGGGCAGAGACTTCAAGCATTCCTGCGAGGAGCCAGTTTCCAGTAGGTTCGAGTGATATTTCATGATTCGTGACGACATTATTGGTGCCCCCATCAAAAATAAAGTCACCAAACTATTGCCAGAAGACCAACATAATATCCCTTGAATTGCATCTTATTCGTCTCTTATTTGTTTACCAAAAACGTTGTACTAATTGGAGTTTCATCTGTAGTACGATAGAATGAATCTTAAGAACTCAATAGGAACACAAGAGTGTCATAACCGTGTCAATTGCAAGCAGATATCAAAGTCTCGATGAATTAATACCAATTATATTAGGAAAGATGCTCTTTCAAGTCGACTTAAGGCCCAAGTTTTCATCTTATCTCTAAATTAGTAACTCTATTCTAAAATATAACTCTAGATAAGTATCAGAAATAAAAAAGCGGATACTGTAAATTCACAATACAAGACAAATTCGCGCTAACTATAGTCTTATCTTGTCTCGTATAAGTTTTTATTCACTTAGAAACCTCACATAAGTAAGAGACCGCGATCTAGAATCTGATCCACGAATGAAATATCTAATTTCAACCAAAATAGTAATATGTGATTTCTTCGTCAGGTTGATAGTCCTCTACACCTAGCGGGAAAACCGTAAATACTATTTCCCCTTCCTTTGTGAGTACCCATTCGATCACATTTGAGAAGTAAATTAACACTGTCTTTGTTCAGGCGAAAAGATGAAAAAGTGTTATGACTAGGCACTATGATGTTCCGCGAGCGATACTGTTGCTATAATCAGGCTGTTTGTCTCGACTTACAAAACAGAGTAAGCCATGTCTTAACCCACTTGAATTGGGGTTCAGCTCAGCTACTATACACAATTCCCTACAACACATTCTAACGTAGTTTGAATATACACTCTTAATTATCTTCCGAGCGAGTTCCCTACGCACCAATTATTGGGGTCTCACATGACACAAAGACTGGACGTCGAATCTAATCCGCAGCCAAGAGATATTTGTATGTGAACTGAATGTAGTCTCGTGCCCAGCTTGTGTTTGCTCAGATCCAGTGCGACAACAAAACAGTCTGGGAACGAGACTAAACTGAATGCCCTGTTCTGTGAATAGGAACTCCCTCTATACCCATGCAGGGGAAAAAAGTGGTGAGACCTAATACTTCACAAGGCAGTGACAAATCGTGTTTTTGAATACGGCCGAATCCCAATTCACTCGTGCTAATTAAGTGTAGACTTTAGGAGATCGAGGCTGCACCGACCCCAAGGCTGTGCTGAAGGACACAACTGTTTTTGAATTCCACCCCCGAGATGAAAGCCATAACTACCAACCATTTCACCAAATATTGCTTCTACCCCCCCAAATATCCGAGGTACGTACTGCCACTGACTAACAGCCAATTACACAGACGCGCGGTAACCTGATCATCCAACCCCTAAATGACTAATCTCCTCAGCCAAGTCTTTCTCTGATTGGGCTAATCGATTGGTCGAACCAACAGCCAATCATACTCCGAACCACCATATCACTCGGGCAGGCTTGAGTGCATATATACTCAGTGAGTTGGTAAATTACTCCCCAATACTTACGAGTTTACATCTGTACTCCCAAACGCACAGGAGTAAGGTATCACTAGCCTCAGTACCCAGCACATTATATCACTCGTCCTTCCTTCCCCATACTAACGTTATCAAAAGATGAGTAATTTCTCCTACACCAATTTAATAATATCGATTATCCATTTCACAAGGCACCACATACTGGGGCCTGAATCCCAAACCCAAGCCCGCGGATACGTACTACCCTCCACCTCGAAGCCTGATAGGACCCAACCATGCCAGCTTACTCTACATCCCCCGCTAGTCAACGCATCTGCATACATGTTACGGGTGCCTGATCGACCGGTCAAGTTACAGATCCTGCTGTTTCTGCCCCGTGTCTTTTATTGCCGCCTCATCTCCTTTGCCTAGTTACTCTAAATGTACGCATCATTGATACGAGACGTACCTGCAGTTTACGCCCACTCTACTCGCCAATGTAGGTACCATTTGAGGCCCTACCCCGTGGCATTGCATATATACCAGCCTAGGACCCTGAATATGCGGCTGTCTTTTTCCTCGCTTGTCGCTGGTTCGTCAATCTCAAGGGCCGATTCAGATCCGCGATCTAGTTGTAATTGATATCAACCTGGCCCTTGGACCCTTTCGTGTTACAGGTACCTTGATTTTGATATCCTGTAACTACACGTGATACTCTCCTCACTATGTGCCTCTGCGATCGCTCAGTGCACATCGTTTCATGATTCTCTTGCTCAGATCCTCCCTACCCTGCCAGTTCACGCCGTAACACCCAGGAAAACAATGCAATGAAAACAATTAGTTTTTAAAAGTAGTGTTTATTTTTTTTCTTCCTTCGTCCTTCTGAAAAGTGACAGTGAATATAGATCCGGTAGAGAAAAAAAAAAAAAAAAAAAAAAGTTATGAAAGTTACAATCTTAATGATGGCATCAAAATGTGACTTTTTCGTCCGTCCTTGCTCTTCCCGCCGTATCTTAAAAAAAAAAAGAAAAATCCCAAAGCATCCCTCGTAAAGAAAAGTGATCTTGCCATGAGGACGTGATAAGGAAAAATAATAAGAATAAAAAAATAATAATAAAAAACTCCAAATGCCAAGCGAATGCAAACGCTGAAAAAGAAAAAAAGCTCCTTAAAAAAACAAAAATCCAAATAATCATATCCGCATGCTAATAAGATTCTGCCCGCATACCATCACCCATGCCATGCATATATCAAAATAAAAATAAAATAAACAGATTTAGACCCAAATAACACGGAAAGGAAATAGAGAAAAAACAAAATACTGTACACCACCGCACCGGGTGAAAGGAAATCCACATTCTCGTCGTAAGGTTCGATGTGATCCATAATCAATTTCAATAACCAAACTTTCTGTTGCTGTCCTCCATCGTTATCTATTTCTTCTTACGTCCCCACGCCATCATTGACGTCACTCTGCTCTTGAGCATGGGTCTTGGCGCAGGCTTCTGCTCAGCAACGACAGCAGCTGCGGCTGCAGCAGCCTCGCTGTCAACGATCGCCTTCTGTTCCTGCTCAGTGGGAGCTGGTGGAGCAGGTGCCTCAATGATCTTTGGCTGGGCTGCAGGAACCTCCGGAGCAGGCTCAGCAGCCTTGGGCGCCTCAACGACGGCAGGGGCAGCAGGGGCAACCCTTTCTACACCCTTGCCCTTATCAATCGGGGCGGCGGCCTCAGCTGCAGGTGCCTGTGGGATCTCTTCACTCTTGCTGGGCCCGTGAAGGCTAATTTGACTGGCGGCCGCGGAAGAGGATTTGGCTTCGCCAAGGTTCTGCGTGGACTTCTTCTTGCCGAAGGCCCATGTAGGACGGCGGGGGAGTTTGCTTGGTCGGCCGTCGTCGCTCTTTCCGTCTGATGTTGGCGGGCGTCCGTCTTTGTGGGATTTGATAGATGCGTTTGAGCGCTTGACGGGCTCGGCGGGGGTAGGTTCCGCCGCAGCGGTAGTAGCAGGAGCCTCGAGGGCGGAGGAGGAGGGGGCGGCCGCGGCGGCGTCGTTTCCGGCGGCAGCCTCAAGGTCTGAAGACTGCTTAGCTGCTTGTTCTCGCTTCTCTTTGGAGGACAGCTTGTTCATCGTGTTGCTCCAGCTCATTGCTCGGGACATTGAGGATTTCTCTTTCTCGGAGCGTCTGGATTCCGGTCTTGCCGCAACAGCATCATTGGACGATGCCAATGGCTCCGGGGGAGTAGGTGGGGGCGTAAGCTCACCTAACTTGGCCTGCGAAGACGATGTCGAGTTCTCGCGCTTCATCTTCTTTCCAGGGAACACATTTGTCAATGATCGCCTGAGAGAAGAATCCTTCTTGTTCGAATCGACTGATGGAGCCCTGCTGTGGGATCCGACCATGCGGCGGAAAGATGGCTTTCTGCTGGGGCCCGACTCGGACCTAGTCGATTTGTCGTCTCCAGCAACGCTAGGGGGTTTACCTGACCTTGAACGGCGGGTGTCCTCGGCACTGGTAACCTCGGGCTGCGACTCTTCCTTTTCGTCCTTCCCTTCGCTGTTGAGGGAGATCTGATCTGGGGAGGCGGTTGTTGGGTGCTCGATGAATGAAAGATCATCATCGGCCTTGTCCTTGCCCTTGGGCTCAACCTCGAGCTTGGCGCTGGCGGGCTCAGGAACCTCGGCGAGCTTAGGGAGTGCTTCTGATGAACTACTAAAGGACTTGCGGTAGATAGGTGCCTTGACCTTAATGTCAGCTTCAAGTTCTTCTTCCATCTCCTCTGCCTCGGCTTTTCTTGCGCGAAGGAGCGCCTTAACCTCTTCCCCAAACGCGCTGCGTTGGGGAGCGGGGGTAGGGGGGATAACACCAATCTCGGGGGGAGGACTGGGGATGGCTACCGAAGTGGACTGTGCCTCCGACCCTTCAGCCTTTTTGAGCCCTTCTTTGGGCTCCTCGATAACTTCTTGCACCTTGGGAGACTCCACCTGAGGCGCTTGGATCGGGGCTTCGACGGGAGCTTCGACGGGAGCCTTGACCGGAGCTTCGACGGGGGCTTCGGCCTTGGGTTCCTCCACCTTGGGCTCCTCGGCCTTGGGCTCCTCGACTTTGGGAGCTTCATCTTTGGGAGCTTCAACTTTGGGGACCTCAACAGCAGGGGCTTCAACAATGGGAGCTTCCACGATTGGTGCTTCCAAGATTGGAGCTTCCACGATTGGGGATTCCACCTTTGGGGCCTCGGTTTCCTTGGGCTTGGGAGCTTCAACCTCGAAGGGGTTAGAGATCTCGACAAGTTTGGGGGTTTCAAAATGAGCCTCAATCTCCTTAGCCTTAGGAACTTCAACCTCTTCAATCTTGGGGACTACAACATTCTCAACGACTGCTGCTCTAACCTCCTCGACCTCTGGTACTGGTACTTCTATCTCTTTGGCCTTGGGGGCGACAAAGTCTTCAGCCTTGGAGATCACGGGTTCTTCGACTTGGGGGACCTCGGATTTGGGGGCTTCGACCTCTACAGGCTTGGGGGTTTCAATAACCTCTTCGACCTTAGGAGCCTCAATCTTGGGCTCCTCAAACTCACGCTTAGGAGCTTCCATTGCGACCTCAGGAACTGAAGGGCCCGCCTTCACTACTTCCTCTTCGGCAGCCTTGACCGGAACCACCTCCACAACGTCGAGCTTTGGTGCCGGCTCGACAGAGACTTCGCGGCTTAGTGATGGAGCCCTGATAGATGAGGCAGCTGATCTTGCCTTCTCGACAGGAGTGAACGATCGAGATTCTCTGTATCCTTCTCCGCCGGTGACCGGGAGGTCAGCAACAACAGATCTAGGGAGAGCCTCCACCGAATGCGTTCGCTGCTCGTACGGGCAAGCATCCAAACCCACGCCTCCTGGGGCAACGATCACCATCGACCCTGTCTCGACCTGCGGAGCTGGTGATTCAGCTCGTACGCTGGGAGTTGGGGACGTTTTGTGACTAGCAAATGTCCATGTCGACGGATTCTCCGCTATTGGTGATAATGGCTCGGCCTCCTCAGCCTCATCAATGGTCTCAAGCATCTCGTCTTCTATGATCTCTGGCTCCGTTGATTTTAGTAATATCGGGTCGGGATTCTGTATTGGGATTTGTTGTTCTACCGAGCGTGTTGCTCGGCTTTCCTCGGCATTGGTCAGGTCGATGCCGGAGTCACGTGAGCCGGCTTTGGTGGAACTTCTTGGTGTTTTTGGCGTTGTTGTTTCATATGAAGCCTCAAGGAGGAGTGGTGTTCGCTCTGTTTTGGAAGACTTCGAACTCTCGCCCAGATCATCCTCCACGACTTGAATTGCTCGTGCCTTGCCCTTGTCCCTCTGGCCCTCTCTCAACTGCTCCCCATTGGCTGTTACCGCCTCACGTGCTGCTGCTGCACCAATTGCCCTCTTATTGCGATCTCTCTGTTTCCTCTTCTCCCTGCGTAGACCGAATCCACCAATAAAAACCCATAGATTCTTTGGTGTCCAGAAACTCAGTGCAATACCGATGCCGAAAATAGCAGCTAGGAAGCTGCTCGCCGAAAATCTCCCTGTACTCGCTGGAGCGGGGGTGTCGGCGGGTTCTGATCTAGTGGGAACGACGGAGATCAAACTGTCGCTCGCGCAATCCTCATGAATCGTTTTAGCCGTCACGATTGTTATGATTGTGGGGGCACTCGAGGGGGGTGGGAGGGAAGAATATGTGCTATACCCAATGGACATTCCTACGCCGCCCAGCTCGCCAGAAATGCAGTTGCTTATGGGCATATCGGCGGAACCATCACTATGAACAACGCCAGTGTCGGCAGCCCTCGACCGCGAAAATAGCTGATCGAACATGGTGGGCGGGGGTGTGGGGGGTGAGAGGGAGGGGGCGGTTTCCCGTTGAGAGTGGAGGCGGTAGTGTGATGTGTATAGGTGATGTGTAAGAAGAAGGGCGTGAAGGCGAAAATAATAAAATGGGAAAGGGTTACAAAAATCAAGCAAGATAGAACCCGGTAGAGGGGGATATGAAGAGGGAAGAGGAAGAGGGAAGAGAAAGAAAGAGGAGATCGATGGTAGTAATACTAGTACTAGTAGTAGTGGATTACGGGGATGGGTAAAGGATAATAATAGATTTGACAAGTGTTGGTGTGGGTGATGGCTTGTGATTGTGAAGGGACCGAGAAACACAGTTATCTCGGTTCAGGGAATAGCGGGGGAGAGATTGACTCCTCTTTTTTGTCGGAGAGAAGGGAGACGAAACGTCCACGAGGATATATATTCCCAGGAAGGGTAAAGATTGCAATAAGTGTGTGTGTGGTGTGTGGTAGGCAGGCTGGTAGAGTAGCACCAGTAATAGTGAGTGTGTGTTCGAATCTTCCTTCTTCTTGGAGACAGACGGTCTACTGAGATAGAGAAGGTAGGCTGATCTGACCGATTGACGTGGTTCGCTCGAAAGGGAGCAATAGAAAGACAGTATTCGAAGAAGAAGGAACGACGACGTCAGACACCACACTGCGGTCTTGATTGATTGCCGAGTGAGTGAATGGGAGTTGAATGAAAACAAATTATTGTTTTTCTACTCGTTTTTTTAAGGGGGTATGTGAACGAACGAACGAACGGGAACGAACGTGATAAAGGTCGCGAGAGTTGATTCGAGTGAATGAGGTTAAGTTTGATTTTTCTCATTCAGATTCCGACTCAGATTTCAACTCCTCTCTTTTTCTTCTGTATGTACCTCTTCCTTCCTTCCTCCCTATTCTCCCTATCCCTATCCCTATCCCTATCCCTATCAAGGGCCCTTCTCTATCCGGAGGTAGAAGACAGTGGGCGTTCTTCCTGGGAAGCTCTACCTCCGAGATGTATGTATGTAACAAGGCACTAAAGCGCTTTTCTCGATGTGCGTTCCAGCAACAGAAAAAGCAAACAGGAAAAGATGTGCCGGGATTGAGGTTCAATTCTCGATTCGGATTTGTGCAAGAGGCTACAAAAGTACTGGAGTGCAGGTCCGTAGCGTGGACGTCTACAGCTGGCAGCCTTTCCAACCCCCCCAGCAAGCGAGAACACGTAGACACGCTCCTGCGAGTGACAACGGGGAAACAGCCTATCGTTGAAGAGGGTGGTCAAGGAAGCGATTTGCGCCTGCAGTAAACGGTACCAAGCAGGGGCAAGCGACAACGGGAGTCAAGGTAGTTGGTTGGTTAAATTCGTAGTACTTGCTTGGTAGGACTGGTAAGGAAAGACGAAGGCAGCAAGAGGACGGCGGACAAAAAAGCATGTGGGTAATGAACGAGCAAATGGTACCGGAGAATGATAAAAAGGATCCTCAGGAAATGGTCTCAATTGGATGATGTTCGGCCTCGGGAGGTGTGGGGAGCAAGACTTCGTAGACCCAGGAAATATTGCAAAAGGCTCCGTCCGGCTGGAGTCTAGATGATCAACCACCACTCGTATCCCGCCCCCATTAAGCTAATCCCTGTATGTTTTGTTGTCAGTGCCCTAGCCACACCAAATCGTAATCGTGGTTGGTTCAGTGTTTCCATCTCTTAACCACCCTTCCTATCAAACATCTTCCCCTAAGCTGCCGCGCTCAATGACACTAGAACTGTTCCCAGCCCATCCTTATAACCATCATCATCATCATCAGCATGTGCGTCTACTGCCTCCCGTTTCGCTTGATATAAGTCGGTAATATGACACCAGAGACCCTTTCTAACGGCCATCCTTCGTGACTGCCCGGCGAGCAACCATCTCATCATCAGTTGAGTAACCCTGGAGGTGATGGCAGTCATCACGAAACACGAGGCTCTGACACGCCATTTTAAATGCGGCTCTGGTTACTCTTCACGTCGACCCGAGTCCCGGGGACAATTGGTGAGAAGAGAGCAGCACTTGTAACTTGTATCTTTCAATTGACTTAATAGCACTTTCATTCATGATTCACTATGCGTAGGTACAGATCTGTCCTGGACATAAATCGCAATTGGTAAGTGCAATTGCAAAAAAAAAAAGAAAAAAAAAAAGTGAAGCACAGAAACAATTGGAGGTGCCGCTCCGTACCATGTTTCCTTTTTGCTATCTTTCCACTGGCATACTGCAATGCGCGAGTACATGCATTGGTAAACACGCTAAGCCTAATTGATACGCCAACTGGCAGAATCAATGGCCCGATCATCCGTAGAGAAATGTTTTGCTGTCTTTGCAAATTGTTCTCCTCAACCAAGTCTTCCTTTTTACCGCCCGGGCTTTGCGAAACTTATGCCATATGGTATCGTGGCGGACGGCGATCGCGACCTTTACTGATACTGAAGCAATTCGAAACCTGAGTAAGCTGTATCAACTCTAACTGATTATATAATTATACCGAAGCCTTACACAGGACCTATGTGCCTGTGGCGCAAATGGAAAAAAGAAGGCCCAAGTTCTTCCGTGTCATCTCCAGAAAGCATTTAACCCAGATCCTAGTACGTACATGCTCTGTGGAAAACCCCCCACTCAGGACGGGTTGGAGGATGCAGCTCGGGACGACTCCCTTGATTAGGGTTGCAGCCATGCATGAAGCTGCCCCGAGCTTCACTCCCCATTCAAACACTGTGTTGTTCCGTTTGTCTTCTTTTTCGCAGGAGGTGTACATATAGAAGGTATCGTATCTACCTATCCATCTACCATTGCGCGTTCAACTCGGGCAGAGATCCCTATTTTTCCCACATACTCACTTACCTTACTGACTTACATACTTACTTCCCCCCATGACCGAATATGACAGGAAGCCAGAGCGATTGAGTACAGAAAAGACGGATGCCAAGAGACATATCGACATCTCTCCTGCACTGCACACAGCGCTCATGGATGGAACCCCACAAGTAAGCAAGCAAGCTTAACCCCACAAAAACAGCCATTACACACACGAAGGATTTCAGATCGGCCACATGTATTTCTACCAGTGGGAGAAGAGTGGGTGTTTTCTAGGAGTATGTAGAAGGTTTATCTTCGGCGAATAGCGAACACATTGAGCGCGCACCTCCGGAGGAATTCAAGGCGACACCGTAACCACCCTCCGATTCTGATCACGATGGATAGACCGGATCGTTTCCTGCGGCTCTGTGGCTCTTACTTAGTCTCATTCGATTCGAAGGGAAACTGTCCCGCTGTTTCCCGTGTAACCCGGGCCTTTACTCTGGAAATTTCCCACTTCCTTCTCTTCCCCGACTAAGTTACAACCTTTGCCTCTTTGGCGATCGCGTTGATAATCCCTAAATCCGCGCACCAAAAAGAGGGCCCGGCAAGGAACTTCTCCCGACGCAGCCTGTCCCAGTAGGCAGGAACTCTGCTATCATGTAAGGGGAGACATCTGGTTGGCGATGCGTTTAAAGGTGTTGCGCTGGCAAGCGTTGTTTCCCTTTTTGGTATTTTTCGCTCGGGTCCTGCCGCCTTGGTTTGGGTTTGGTTTAGTGGGCTAGGGTTGTTTATCATTAAGTTTGGTTGAGCGGTATTTCTTGGCTTGGCAGAATCCATAGCCAAATCTAGAACTTCGAAGCGCGCGGAAAAGATACGATATGATTGTGATGAAGAGGATTCACTGGAAATTATTGTTCGACACCGGTACACCAGGAGTTGGATTTGCAATTCGGATCGAGTGGTTGGACTGGACAAAGTCTTACCAAAATAACTAATGAGCCTAGCAAGTCAATCAGTTAATCTGGGATACGATACCAGGAGTTATTAGTGGTGGACGCGATAAGAGATAAGAGATGCATAGACTATCCCTCTTTCTTTGGCTTGTATTGGACCAACTACCACGATTTTGTTGATGATACTGTTCCTTTCAATTATCAGGTAGCTTCTAAACTCTCCGTACAGAATGGGGACTTATACTTGGTCTCAGAAGGACATAAAAATTCAAACGATTGCTCTTCCAAATTGTTTTACCAACATGAGTAACAGGGTACGGCGTGTTTATCTACTTTGATGAATCAAACTCATTGCTATGAATTGTTTATTACTCAGAGGAAGTTCCTACGCACACTTTGTACTGTGATCCGTTGTTATTCGCACAACGAGTAATATTCGTCCCTTCCTAGCTGGAGGCCCTGCAGCCCTGGTTTCAACGCATGTAACTTCGCAGTCTAGTCCGTAGGTACGTGCAGAAATAACTCTGACCCAACCCGAATATTAGTATTAATATTCACAGAACCATAACGGTGATATAACCCACAGCGTGGTACTAAGGCGAGCGTAGGTATTGAGATGCTGCTCAAGATAGATAATTCTCGTTTTATTAACGACACATCACTAGCGGCATGTGGTTCATTGTCAGTAAATCCCTCCTTACCTAAACTTAATGTATAGATAGTGTTCACTCGATCTGGAGCCTCACAGACCGTCTTTGATTAGCAGGCATCTTTTTAGTATCTTGACAGGTGCCCTGGTCTATTAAGATTAACTAATAGCGTTCTGTTGCTTGTCGTCAATCTAGCAAAGACATCGATATCAGATGTAGTTGTATCAGTGCTGTGAGACTGAAAGCTGTGTATCAAAATAGTCGAGGGTACATGTTTAGGATAAAAGGGAATTATGATTATTATGGCTGTGATTTACGTGACTTCGATAAAAACCATTGGGATGGTGGAAGCGACCGAGGTGGTTGAGTTGATGGCTATTGGGATGATGATGAGGAGATTCAGGTTGGCTACATTATGTGGTTTTGAGGGGTGGGACACGAACTACGCGTATACGGGTTGATGATTTACGCTATAGTTTCCAGGCAAGCTTTGAAGCGCAGCACCGACCCTAGGTAAGGCATTAAATTTCTGAGTCAGCACTTCCAAAGTTTCCAAGTCAATCTCACATCCATCTCT